AAAAAAAAAAAAAAAAAAAAAATTGTCGACGAAATGTAGTAATATGGTTGCTGAGTATTAAGCTCGGTCGAGCATCGAATGTCCAAGAAACTCGGGTGACACATCGATGAAACAAATGTCGAAGAAACGATCTGCCGATGAAACATCGCAGTGTCGATGAAACAATCAGTCTATGAAACCTTGTTCGACGAACTGATTGCCCATTATAAAACTGCGCGTCAAGAATGACGCGGCTTGCTACATGAAAAGTGGCGCGCCCTACATCATCGAGAGCGCGACAAAGAGCCACATGGGGACGGCCCCAACCCCCAAACCACTCCGAACCAAACCAAGCAAAGTCATGCCAAAGTCAAACCAATCCAAACGAAGTCAATTCAAGGACGGCTGCATGTATCACGATAATAAATGCTGACAGTATTTTATAAAGGCCGAGATGACTGAAAAACAATGCCGGCCGATGATTCCCTAAGTCGCAGCCTACTCCGGCAAGCACGGTCGATCGACAAAAGCAGAAGCAACTCGAGTGAGAAGAAAACTCGGCTACCGCGGCCTCTGTTCATAAATAGCATACGACTGACAGACACCACTGTCAACAGGGATTATGGTAAGATTTCAGACCGTCGTCACGTGAAACCACCCTACCTGATATTACCGCTCTCTCCCCCCCCCCCCTCCCCCAAGAAAAAAATTTGGTCAATCAAATCAAATCAAATTTGGGGGTTTTACGTGCCAAACCTACGACGGGCATCTGGCACGCCCCAGCGGAGGACTGAGGATTAATTTCGACCACCTGGGGATCTTTTGACTGCGACGTTGTCTGTGTAACCTGTCGGAAGGCGCGTTTGTGTTTTTCCGCCGCCCTTGACAGTAGGTGAAAGTTAAACACACCCACTTTCGTCAGCTTGCATTTAGTTTCTTTTGTAATTCATCCAGGTTTACGAAATTTGGTAGAAATGTGCGGAGCATAAACATTAACATAGTACATTTCTTTCAAATTGGATTTGTGGCTCAGAAGTTCACTGTTTTGGGGTAGTTTCCCCGCCGCACGACTCACGCGAAGACAAACCAACGGCTTGAGAGAAACAAAAGAAAAGCACAAAGAAAGCAACCGGCAAGCGTGATGACCTGTGAGTGTGAGGACCTGTGAGTGTGATGAGCGTGAAGACCTGTGTGAGGACCGTGAGGACCTGTGTGAGTGTGAGGACCGCGAGGACCTGCGAGTGTGAGGACCGTGAGGACCTGTGAGTGTGATGAGCATGATGACCTGTGAGTGTGATGAGCATGATGACCTGGAAGTGTGAGGACCGTGAGGAACTGTGAGTGTGAGTGCCGTGTGGACCGTGATGACCTGTGAGTATGAGGACCGTGAGGATCTGTGAGTGTGATGACCTGTGAGTGTGAGGACCGTGAGGACCTGTGAGTGTGATGACCTGTGAGTCTGATGATTCGCGATGACCTGTGAGCGTGATGACCGTGATGATCTGTGAGCGTGACGACCATGATGATGACGGCGAGTGAGTTTTGGTTTTGCGTTGAACCGTGAGGGTGAGTCCGGGTGATGATCCTATTTTGAATAAATCGTGATCGTGAGTGGGCGTGAGTTCTGATTGAGGAAAAAATGGTGATCGTGAGTTTGAGTGAGGACAGCTTAAAATGCCGACCTATGGTTCCATATCCTCCGCTTTGAGGGTTTCCATTGTCACAGATATGGCTGCCCCATGGCTGTGCCGCTGGTTTGCTTGTAGTACTTCCCGTTGAATGAGAAGTATGTGCTGTTCGGGCAGAGCTCTAGTAGTCGGCAGATCTCGTCAACCGATAGGCACGTTCTCTCCGGGAGTTTTTCGTCTGCCGAGAGAGCACTTTTTGCAACAGATACCGGCAATGGCATTGGGATGCTGGTGAACAAAGACACCACGTCAAAAGAGACGAGGCTCTCCTCGTCACGTAGCTGTAAATCGGAAACAAGCTCTATGAAGTTACCAGAGTTTTGCACGTACGTTGGAGTCTTTCCGGTGAGGGATGAGAGAAGCCTGTGGAGGTAGATGTAGACGGCGCGCAAAGGTGACGTTGTGAAGTCCGCAATAGGTCGAAGTGGTACACCGGCCTTGTGTATCTTGGGGAGACCGTACAACGCCGGGATACATCCGTTCCTGCAGATGAGCCTCATGTAAAGGCTGTGGAAGTCAGGGTATTTCTGGAAGATGATTGCCAGTGTTTTGCTGGGCGTTTCTTGCACTTTTCTCGTGGGGTCTCTTGGGAAGGAAGTGTACGCACTGCTGCCAAGGAGCTCAAACAGCTTTTGGTCGTACTTCACCCTGTCCATGACCACGGTGGCGTTTCCCTTGTCTGCCCGCAACACTACGATGTCTTTGTCCTCCTTGAGGCGACGCAAAGAGTTTTCCTCGGCCGAAATGTTGAGAGGTTTCAGCTGAACTGCCTGAGACATGACGCCGATTGCTTTCAACCGAGCCTCCTCGCCAGTAGGCGGGTCCAACCCACGATGACCGTCTTCGATGGACGCAACCATAACGGGGAGGGGGAGCTTGCGAGTGGTTAAGTTAAAACCCCGGCCTCTTGCCAGTACCGATGTCTCTGAAGGGGAGAGCTCTCTCGATGAAAGATTGCACACGAACCTTGTGTCGACTCCGCGGAGGCTAGAGGCTGAGTTGTCCGGCTGACGTGCAGCCAGCTTCTTTGCATTCACCTTTTCTTTGGTCCGAGAGCACATGGAAGCGGTGTCCCTGGCCAAAGTATCCAGGGCGTGAAACACCTCAAGTATTCGATGTTCCAGCTGTCGTCGCATGAAGAAGATTTCCATGTCTTTCCGTTTGATGGTGTCGTGGCATTCGTGAATCCGGGCACATAAAAGACGGCGTTCTGCCTGGTCGATGACGCGATGTCCCTCAGCGGTGTGAACGAAACGCTTGAGGCGGAGGCTCTTGGGCACAAAGCCGAGGTCTTTGCACTTCTTGTTGAACGTAAGATGAGACTTGAAGGCGGTGACGGAAGACGTAAGATGTACATACTGCTTTGCAAGCTGACACGTGTCTGAACCGTAGTCATCGAAAATTGACTTGAAGGTAAACAAACGTTCGGCAGCCCTCTGCCTGGCCATGTGCACTTAGACGACACGTGTCCTTTTCTTTTCGTCACTCACCCGTGAACAAAAGACCGAACTGGTCCCGAAACGTCGGGTAAATGTTTATTAAATTTTTGGTTAGAGTCCCTATTTTTCGCTTCAGCTATAACCATTATCTTATACAAAAGTTATTGATTGTCTGAAATTTTCAATCGGAAAGTAGACACCGTCAGAGCTCACGAATACATGAAGCTCTATGGCGCCAGTTACCAAAAACGGGAAAAAATGGGCTCATTTTTCCATTGAAAATAACAGAAATCAGGCACGCAGCCAGGATTTTGTTTCGGGGGGGTGGGGGGGGGGGGGGGGGGGGGGGGAGAGGAGAGCAGGGCACAGCAAAATGGAAGACTTCGGGGGGGGGGGGGGGGGGGGGAGAGGGGGAGGGCCTGGGCACCATGCCCCCCCTTCCTGGCTACGTGCCTAGCAGAAATCCACATAACTTTTGAATAACGGTTAGTGCTGAAACGTTGGTATCTGGTTTGGGCCTCTAGCGCTGCATTTGGGCAGGGGTGAGCGTTCGTCGATGCATAGTTTATTTTTGCAATAAAAAAAAAAATGTTTCTTGGAGGATTGCAGTCAACAGGTTATTAGTGGTTCCGGTGTCGTGCGTCATTCATGACGTTTGTATTTGATAAAATTCTGCATATGCAAAAACTGTATGAAGTGCATGTTGCTCAACTATACTGTATGCGTACGTAAGAGCGCAGCCGGGGGTCTTTGTTTCAGAGATACAGTCTTTGGAGTAGAGATGCGGGCACAGTTGCTGAAAGAACCTAAGTGTGCTCGAGCAGCAGTTCCAAACAAACGTCACGGTTTTGTTATAATTTCAGATAAAAAAAAAAAAAATGGCTTATGAGAAAGCTTTTCTAGAGAGCTAATTTACCTATATTATCTAGAGATATATGCTACATAGTAAACAAGTAAGTGCAATTTACATATATATTTTGCTTGATTTACCGTATAATTTACAGGTCGTTTGTGGTTGATGCGGCAGGTTTCAACCCTTGGTTTCGACTAGCCTCAGTTAACATTACATTGTAATACGGTGTATGTCTTTTTATCTTATAAAAAGGTTTCCTGTTAAACAAATAAACAAAAGAGAAAGGTACTATATTTTAACTTTTGAGGGGCAGTCTAGTTAGAGGTATACTATAAACGGGTCCATATCACAAGAGCGAAGGACATTTTAGCGAACGGCGACATTTGAGCGAATGGTCGTTTTAGCGAATAACGGGGGCGCGCGTTAACCCATCCGTCGCGCTGCGCTTTACGCCGCTTCGCGGCGACAGTCTGCGGCAACTCATTACAAAAATATGAACTCATTTGGCCCACCCGAAAACGCCGCTTCGCGGCGTCCGACTATTCGCTAAAGTGTCGTTCGATGAAACGTGGGCGTTCGCTAAAACGTCATTCGATCAAGTGAGTGCCTCCCACTATAAACATACCGAGAAACTGGCGTCAAGAATCGTGACTTCGCATAGGATTTCACCTCGCTGGTACCCCGGTATACCTTGGAGAAATTTGCGGTGATCTAAAACTAGACATCAAGCTTTACCATTACGTAGACAGCTCCTTAGCACGCTGACTTCGCTTTTGGACCGTGGTAGAAGCGATGTGTCCATCTTCGAATGTGAAGATCATAGCCAATTCACAGCTCTCAGCGCAGGACCGTTAGCTCGTCAGTATCAAAACCTGGCATAGACAGCACAGGGCCAAGACATCGACTTAGCAAATGAACCAATCACCAAGGCTAAGCGGCCTAGCCTGGCCGAGCTACGACAAGCCGCAGAACACGGCAGCAGTCCTCCTCGAGAAAAAGCACCCTATCGCCATCAACATGAATCATCCTCCTCAGCTAGGCGGCGCAAGCTATCACCCAATACAAACTACCATCATACATTTATATATCCAGTATCCTCTAATTTTTTTTGTTTTTTGTTTTTTAGTTCCTTGCGTTGGTGTTTGCAAGGTAGCATCGCAGAGGTTTCTGTGGTTTGCGTAGGCGCAGCTGTTTGCAGGTAGTTGTTTTGAGATCTACGTCAATATCGCCTCCCGCTCCTTAAAGTTACCACGTAAGCATCGTCTCAGTTGGCAAGTTGTTATTCCTCGTAATATTTTTAAATATTACTGCGCATATTGTCATTTTTCTAACCACTTTAGTGTCCTTGCGGTTCTCCCCGAAGCACCATAAAAAGTAGCGAAAGGTAGTCTGATGGGTGTCGCGCTTATTACAGAACAATATTTCTAAAAAAAAAAAAGAAAGATACGTAAATTATCAATCAACATTGCGTAGGAGTCGACAGGGAAGGTGGAATTGTTGGTGTACTCTGACGTTTCATGGCTTCGCGTTCCATCAAAGTGCCGTTTTATGGCTTCATATTTTATTGGCATATCCGTTTATTCCACCCTTTCTCCGTCCATTTTACGATTTTTACCAGGTCAGTTGGCGCCAGTGTCTACTGGGCTACACCATGGACGCCAAGGGAGATACCATCAACTTGGACCTTTCTCAGCTCACGGGGGACATTGTCGCCGCGGTTGACGGAGAACAAGAGCGGTACTGTTCGCACAAAACTGGAGCCTGTCCCCCCAAAAATCTCCAGTGCAAAAATAGTATAGTATATTGCAAAAAATAAACTATACAGATCGCCGAACGCTTATACTCCGCCCAAATGTAGCGCTAGCTGTCCGAACCAGATGCCGAAGTTTCAGCACTCACCACTATCTTTCTTAAAAATTACAAGTGATTTCATGAAATTTTCATTGGGAAAATGGGGCCCATTTTCACCCGTTTTCGGTAACTGATGCCATAGAGCTCCATGTATACATGCCTTGCACGTGACGTCATAGGACATCGTACCAGCCGCCATAGGTCTCCTGTATTGACCAGAGGGCGCTGCCAAAAGGGACTTGTTAGGACTTGTTTTGTGTAGTATAAACATAAGCGTCTCAAACCGTCACACTCTAGAAGCGTGCCTGGTGCAGAACGCAATCACCAGAAGAATGTGAAGAAACAACAAGATTTCAAACGCCGTCGAAGCACAGGTCAAAACTAAGACATAAATAGTATGAGCCGAAACATGGTGGTTCACGCATTCTAAAGTAAAAAGGAAAAAAAAAGAAAAAGTGTCGGAATACCAGATACTATGAAGTCACCACACAGAGATAAGAGACGCGTGCTCTAACGGTGATGGCATGAATCTGGCACTTTCAGTTGTCTTGCGGCGTTGAATCTAGCCGATTTCGGATGTCCAAAGGTGTTTTTTCGTTCTTCAACACCACACAGAAAGGAAAAAAGCTCGACCAACGTGCCACAAGTAGTGCGAGGCCCAATCGGATGAGCTTGTACAAACCAAAATGAGGGCACCACAGTTTGTTCAAAGCTTCAGAGCAGGAGGCCTATTGCCCCATACCATGCTCCTGTGCCCGTACCTTATGCATCAAATATTTGGCAGCATCAAATGTATGCTGCAGAAGGTATGGGCACAGGTGCACGGTACAGAGCAATGGCGACTGATGTGGCATTAATGCAAGCCATGAATCATTTATAACTTTTGAATAAAATAATGGTTAGTGCTGAAACTTTGGCATTCAATTTGGATCGCTGGTGTTACATTTGGATGGAGAATGAGGGTTCGAGGATGCATAGTTTCTTTCGCTATAAAGAAATCTCTGTAAAAAAATTTTTGGGACACTGTACATTCCTGTTACTTTCCAGCCATTCTCAGAACACAGTGAACCACACCAGACTGTTCACTGTTCCTTTGTCTTTGGAAAGCCTGTAAATCTGGGTTCGTCATTAATCCTAATTGAACATCAAACAAAAGTGTATTGCTTCAAATTGCATTCATTACTACAGGGTAAAATAAGTATTGACTCTACATATATACTTTTTTTTTTTTGTGACAAGAGTTGTTTTTAATTTACAAAGTTTCTCTCATAATGTTTCTGTACACAAGGTTTCTAAAATAGTCCCTAATTCCTCGTCTCGCTTCTGACTGAAGCTCTTTCTACCTTTGAATTTTCATCTTTCTTTTTAAACTGAGTAGATTTGTGTGTTTCACGTGCAGTCGCCGACCGATTTTTCGGACTTTGGAGGGACTGAAAAAACATCCAAATAATAGAGCAGTCCGAAAAATCAGCAGAATAAAAAACCTGCCTTTGTTACGTCTAAGCGGGCTTAAAAAGAAAGCCATAAATAGTGCCTTGCTTCAAGTTATGCCAACGCACCTTGTTTCAGGTTTCGCCTCCGTTTGCGTTCGGCAACTTTGTATTAACTTGAGAATCATTGCTTTCTTTTCTAGTGTTGTGGTCGAGTACTTTCTGCGCTTCTTAGCGACACATCGCAACGATGGAAGAACAGATGGGCAATAACGTCCAAGCCAGCATAGTCCGAAAACACGATTCACTGAAACGAGGTCGAGATAAGGCGCAAGTTCACGGCGCGCAGCTAGGAAAAAAAAAACCGTATACCGTCACTTAGCGGTAGGACTTAGCAATACTCAACTAGGCCTTCAAACCAAGCCAATCCATCTGCAGCCAACATAGAATTCAAAATGGCAGCTTTGCGGTGGTGTGTCCCGCTGATAGCTCGCGACGATTTTGTCCGAAAAATGAAACGTTCGGACTTCAAGCTGTCCAGAATATCGGTCGTGAATATGCACTATTTCTATTGGTTAGGTCACGGTTCCTCCTTTAGGTGCGAAATATCGAACAAGTCTGAATTATCGGCGTCCGAAAAATCGGTCGGCGACTGTACTTTCTTCAAAATTTTCACAAGCATGCATGAAGGTGTCTGATCAATTTATAGTGAATATTCGAAGAACTTGTACCTGGCATACTGGCATACCTGGCATAAGTGTTACTGATACTTAGCGTAAAATACTGAGGGAGTGCCCGCCCCACATTCACTGAAAACTAGGTTAATCTAGACATGGGCTTTTGTCCTGTCAAACCGGGCGCCTAACGTATATTTTGCAGAATTCCCAAGTTTATGATATGTTAATAGTGGGTGCTTGAACGAAGTGAGCACTTTTGCGGTATTTTACGGCTATAAAGAGTTTAGTACCGTAATATCCTGAGAGACGCCCACCCCCAAAAGAGAACTGATCCCCGTTTTTGGCACGATCTGCAATTTTTTTTTTCAAACACGCCGAAAGGTAGCTGATTTTTAGTAATTGCAGGGCCCTGGCCAATGGTGACCTCGGCAGATATGGTGTTACTTAGCCACAATGGGAGATAAGTGAACATTGCTGACTGGGATTGACATTCGTCCTTGGTTCATCGCCCCTCCCTGCAATCGCAAGTTTTGCGGGTCGCAAATTCTAATACTAGAGCTTTTTTTTTTTCAAATTTTTTTGAACATTGAAGTTAGTGCACTCGTTATTTTAATCCAATTTGCATTCAATTTTAGACATGCCATCTTGGGATATTACGGTGGGTCATTCCAAGAGCTCCTATAACGAAACTATGCATGCGCAAAGCCGTTGGCGGGCTATCGGGTGTTATTATCGGAATCAGAACAATCTAGTCAAACTATTATCTACGTACAACTACAATATGGGTAATGGTGCAAAATGAATGCAGTAAAATCCTGCTGATAAGACATGCAAGGTGCAAATATGGTATTTTATGTCATATACTGGCCTGTAGTAGGGGATATATATATATATATGCAATATAATTTGAAGTGTCATGACTCGTGCATATGTCATGCTATCTTTATGCTTCTAGCATTCGTCACTAAGCTGCCTTATCTTCTTTGCTTTGACCTGTCCCTATACTGCACGACACCATTGGCGTAAACACACGATGTGTGATCGTCTTTCTTTTCTCTTCTCTTTTTCTTCTTTCTCTTAGTATAGAATGGCTGTAAATACTAGTGTGGTGGAAAGGGCTCATTTGGATGTACTTTTCTGAAATAAAATCCGAAAAATCGCCTGAGTTGTTTTGCGCCATTGGTGTCGCACAGTGTGCGTTTTGTCCCAGAGTCTAACGCAAAACGGCATTGACTAGAGCGTTGCCACTTTAGGAAGCCTGGACTGTTTCCTCCGAGCCCCGCCTTGGCCAAGGAGTGGCTGAGCAGAAAGAAGCAAAGCATCCGACCGTGGCGCAAGTTTGTCGACTTCAACAAGTTCCAGGTGCCCAAGAGCCTCCCCGACGCCTCCACCCGGGTCGTCAGGAACATAGAGCACTTTCAGAGCAACTACCTCTTTGTGTTCATTGGCCTGATCGTCTACTGCGTGTAAGTCAACAGCACCCCAGCGCAAGCAATGCGACACTCAGTATCGCGGCGGAGCGTAGGTGTTCAGTCCTGTAACACGGGCGTTCTCAAACTCGTTGATCTCAAGGTCTGTGGCCTGACTGAAGGCCGACCCTCCTGATCTCGGTACTGATGTGATAAAGCAGTGCCCACAGACCTTGTAAACAAGACTAGGTAGGTTCTGGCTCATAGTGAGCCAGAAACTCCTTAATGTGGGTGGTTCAGAATGAATGGCTCAGACCTGCTAAGATTTAATCTGGAAAACACTTACTTCGGGGCAGGGACGGTCGAGGGACTTTGGGAGCCTGGGGAAAGGTGCTCTGGGGGAACCCCTGGGTTCATAGGAACTTGGTTTGAGAACCCATACTGTAACAGTGTATTTATTTGAATCATGAAAACTACAATTTAGGCAGACTCAACAACCAAAGTGATCAGTAATGTCAGATTTAAAATGCTTGGAGTCCGTGATGGTGGCAACAAACTCTTGGAGGGTGGTTAATGTCCTGGATGTACGGCAAAATGAGCGATGAATGAAATGTTGTGGTATAAGTTGGAGTGCCAACTTTGTGCTGGTGATCAAGATGAGAGGAAAGATGAACTATTTCTTGGGGAGCTGCCTTGGTTGATGCCCGATATTTTCAACATTCACAATCACAATCTTTGGAAACTGGCACACTATAAATGAATTGACTGGCAATGAACATCCATTTTAGTGGCAGTTATTAGAGATTCAAGCACTTTCTTTCTTTTCTGATTTGAGGTGCGATCACAGATTACTACTAGCTTTGAGCACGCTATGCTTTACGATAACTTGTGTCTCATTAATGGACACCTCCATTCCCCCGGAAGATTGTCCATTTGCGAGTCGTTTGTAATAATGAGACAAAACTGCATGTAGTTACCTAGTTCGTCCCTAAAAATTTTGTCTAGTTAGCGTGGTGTCCACATTAACAAAACATAACTGTTTTTTTGTTTTTTTTCAGGCTAACATCTCCGTTGCTGCTCATTGCTATTGTGGCTGGCTTGGGCGGCGCCTACATAATAAGACTCAAGAGTGCAGAGGGAAAGCTCAAGCTGTTCAGTAAGTCACAAACTTTTTCCAAGAGTCCTTTTTTTTTATTTTGCCTAAATTGAAGAAAAAACTAACTAAATACTAGGCTATCTAGTTACAGGGAGCTACTGAACTACGTGCAGAGATATTATAACAAAATATAGAATGTACAAGTTTCATTTGACAGAGGTATCCAGGCTGTTTGAGATGGGACTCCAGTGTTTACATGAGTAACAACCAAATGTACATTGCATGCCAAAAATTTCATCAATGGCACTCTGTAATGGTTCATATTTTACAGAAAAGGCTGAGGTCGGTTGTGAGCGGGTGCCAAAGATGCAGCCCGATTTTCTGCTCGAAATCAGATAGTGCCTAGGGGTGCTCAGATAATGATGCTTGGTGCTGCTCCGGTGTGCTGTTCGCAAAACTAAAATAAAGGTTTGTTTTAGAGCTTAACAATTCATATTTGTCTCGTTCCTTTGCGTGGAATGAAACTTTAATAAGTGTCGTTTTTTACTAATGCACTGCTGTAGAGAATACCTAGCTATCTGTTGAGCCAGCTTTTGCAATGGTCACTTTATATTCCTGGAGGGCTGCATTCAATGCTCCTCGCCAGTAGCTAAAGTGGGCCCCTTAATGGATTGTTCTGCAGTTACTTGGTCAACACAATGCGACAAATAAATTGTGCAACTCGGTAACATTCTCCTTTGCCTATGCAACCGCCATCTTGGTGAGAAAGCCACGTGCGAGTGAGGCAATGTGAATGTTGCAATATTATTATTTGCTCTTTATTTTAAGTGCTGTACAAACAGCCCTAGGTTTTTTTTAGTGGTGCAGTGAGAAAGATCACACCCAATCCACAAAACAAGGGCCTGCATGTCAGGATGAAAGGAAAACATCAATGTACCCTTAAAGGGGCCCTGCAATGACTTTTTTACTAAGTTTTAATTTGCACCGAACCCGAGCGCACTGAACGTAGTAACTTAGTGAAACTTTTCTTTTCTCGAAATTCCCTTTATTTTAAAAGTTATAGTCAAATTAAAATTGCAAAAACAAGCAAAAAATAACCTCCCTCATGACGTCCTTGGTTGCTTGAGAGTGGCCGTGAACTAGAGGAGAAGTAGTGAGCTCATCGAGCGCTCACGACTGCCGCACTCCAAGTCGACGGCGCGAGAGGGCGCCATTGAAGCGTGTTCCGGATAGGCTGTATGCAGCGGTCAGCCAGAGCGGCTCTCATTGCATTTGCTGCGCGATTAAATACTAATTCGGCATGACACTTCATTGGCCACAAACGACAGCAAACACAGGGTAAATATCAGTTCAGAACGGGAGCCAGTTCGCGCTGCCATACCGCCAAAGGGCTAAATCACCAGCCAAGACCGCGCCGAGAGCCTTGGGAACGCTCGGGACCGGTCGGATCCTCGAGCCGGTATACGACCGCAGCGCCGCCGCGTACATCCGGGACCTTTCCGTGTCGGCGCCTAATCCCACTATTCCTTTCTAGTATGCGCCGCTTTTTCCACCGCTTGGTGGCAGGTATGTCGACGGGTCATTTCTTGTTTCCGTACTTTATGAACTGCATTCGTTTCTTTTTTATCTAAAATACTGAACAAAAACTACTTTTATAAATAATTGAAACGGTTCGCGCCACTTATATTTTGTATTTCGACTAAAAAAGAAGCTTTTAGCGGCTCTGACCAGTAGTAAGCCCAGGACCAAAGACGTCACATTTTGCGGGCTTTCGGTACCGCGGGTCGCCCTCGTCGGTGGAGGAGGTTTCCGCGTCGTCCGGTTAAAATATGACGCACTGATATTTATTTACTCTCTCCGTGCCCGCTGGCTTGCGCGAACCCCAAGAGACGTGGAAACCGCAAAAAAGGTGGACGCTTGATTATGATTGCAGGGCCCCTTTAAAAGTTTCCTTAGGGTCCAAAAATGGCAATATCGAGATTACCTGAGCTAGATTCAGATTCGTGGAGAACCAGTTGCAAATGAGTTATGGGATCAGTTTTGTACAAAGGAAAAGGATAAAATAGGGAGTGAACATGGCTTACCCTCTCAGGAACTCGGAAGCGTACGGTGAGTCTAGACAATCGTTTGCAACTTTGTACGAGAACATAAAATCCCGGATCATCCGTGTAGTACACAAAGGTTTTTAAACCAATCAGATTACAAATTCTATTACAATCATAAAATGCACTGGGCTTTAAATAACGATAAAAAACTTGTAAATTTTCTTTGGATAAGCTCAATACTAGACGATTTGGTCACTCCAATGGAGTTCCGCACGACTGAGGCAAATTCAGAGTGGCTTTGCACCAGGGAAAGTAATAACAGGGTTCCTAATCTGTTAGATCTGATATGACACCTAAAATGCAGGCTCTTCGGTGTAGTACGATGATGATGGCTCTTCTGTGATCACCGTGCTGAATGAGAGTGAATCAACCTCTCGTGCCATTATCTATTTGTCCACAGACCGGGAGCTGACAGTGGTTCAACAGTACTGCCTTGTGGGCATGATGTGCTTCCCCATCTTTTACCTTGCTGGAGCGGGATCTGCAGTCTTCTGGGTTCTGGGTAAGGTCTCTTGGGAGCACTTTCGATTGTCATCAGCGTTCAAGCATTTCCGATGCCAGATTGCCTCATTGCACGACACCATTTGCCTAGTTTGTGTGTGTAATTAACATTACTTTTGCAGGTGCATCTTTCTTCACGATAATGCTGCATGCCACAACTTACGCCATCGAGACCATACCTGAGGAAGACTACACTCTTCAGTTAGAAACGGTCTAAAAGGTTTGTTATCATTAGCTTTTTTGTGCCGTCTGATGTGCAGTGCTCGATGGTAGCCAGAAATCTACGAGGTCTATGGGACTAGATTCTGCCACAACAATGAGACGTTTCTGGTCTGGAAACCTTGCTGTCACACTTTGGGAGAGGTGTTTTCTAGGAACAAACAAAATTACCTGTAGCACATTGGCAGCAGAGGGTAATCAATCAGTTCAGGCAAGGGCCTGCTAGGAAAGCTAGAGAGATGTCCATAGTTGCCTCAAAACCTTGCCAAGCACTCAGAAATGCTTTGCAGCTTTTTCAGTCAGTGCTTCAGAGGATGGCATCAATGGTTGGCACCTACTTCAGTGTTGCCAGAAACGCGTCCGTGGCTTATATAGAAGCGGCACCGAGCAGCATGTCTGGCATGCTCCTTAGTGCCGCTATCTCGTGATAAAAATGAAGCCTATCAAATCAAGAAAGCAGATACCAAGAGCAAAGATGATGTAGTACTGGTTGTGTCATCCATCACTGTATACTGTAGCTGTTAATACTACCGAAATGTTTTGACCAAATGCACAAGCAACATGTTCATACTGTTAAAATAATTTTTAAATTGGATCAACAAGCTTTTTCTTCGATACCAATTATAGACCTCCTTCTAAATTTCCCAAGCACTAAGGAGCATGCCACAAGTGTAGTTACACGTGCTGCATTTGCTTGTGTCTGCAGGAGTAAGTATATTGTAAACAACTTTATTTTTTGAAAGGCTCAATATTTTGCGAATTCGGCTAAGTGTGGTTTTGGGAAACATTTTGTGGGCACAAAATTTTGCAAATTGGGGTGGTATGTTATGAATTTTTTACCATGTGAGAACATATTTGAGGGGGCCCATTTTTTGCGAAATTATACGAGTTGCGAAATTTGCGAAAAACTGAGTTGTTTACAGTATTCTAAAGCAAAAACCTAAACATATGGCACTTTGCATGTGCATTTGTCAACACCTTATTTGGTTATTTACTTCGGGTCTTTTTTACCGATCAAGCAGGCACGTGCAGCACGTGTACAGTGGCTAGCGACGCGAGTTAGAATGTGCAAATGCCAACTAGACAGTACAGGACACGCGGTCTGGCAGGCAGCGAGTGGAGGGTCAGAACAGCAATGGAAGCGTTTAAATGTGTCTGCTCAACCGCCACACGCGATACCTTCCACTCTTGACGCACGCATGAGAGCCGGGCAGCAGCGTGGTTTGCACTGCCCGGTCGCCGTTTGCGCATTCCAGTTCGTATCAATAGCCACTATACATACATTAGCAGCATTCTCTTTGATGGCTTAAAAAAGAGCTGAGGAATTGAGAAGCTTTCAACCTGGATATCATGGCACATTTCTTAACAACGATTGGGTGCTTAAAAACACTTCTAGGTAGTTCATTTGTTCGACGAGAAATGATATAGCCAGTTACAGTGTAGGCCAGAAAGACTGATCATCGGTGGATTCATTCAGCTCCTTGATAGAATTGTGTGTTGAACGAAATTGTAGGGAAGAAATGCTCTGCAGCGACCTTGTGGTTTAATAATTGAGATGTATGCTTCATACTTTTCGGATTATTAGGCCATGCAAGAGTTGTAACAGTGGAAGGACGACATCTGGAGGGAAGCAAGGTGCTCGCACCCACTCATATGTAGCAAAAGGCGAAGGGGCTAAAGCAGGGGGTCTCAAACTCAGTTGAGTGTGGGGGCCAGATAGCCCATACCGGAAAGGTTGAGGGCCAATATAAGACAGGAACGCATAGAGGGAGTCGGGGGGGAATAAAACTTTTTTAAGGAGACGAGACCTCGTGCTTTATGTTTTTTTGTAAACTCAGTTTTGCCAGTGACATCTTTAGATTTGATTTGTTTCTACGACTTCATTGGGCCCTGATCTGTGATAAAAATAACTAAAATGACGCCGCCCCGCCAACGTGCTGGCTTTTTAATAGAAGGGAGCAAGTACACTGACGTTCTCATTGCACAGTTCACTCAGAAATTATCCAAGCTCAAGTCTTTGCTTTCCTGACGATTTTTATTACAACACTCCAAGCAAATAATTGTCATTTAATGGTGATATGTTTTTGAAGGCAAGAATCTCGAACTTGTAGCTTTATCTTTGACAGTTTCTCCTGCTGATCGGGACGTCGCGCAGCAGAGATGCATCCTTCTACGAATAAGTTGCGCTTGCAGCCTAGTAGCAAATGAACACAGATAAGTATAAACTATGTGTACACGTTAAAAGAGCAGAGCTACTTTTCGAGCAAAAATGAATCGACGAGATGAGATCGCTATGGCACATGCCATTTCTAGCGCTGGGGACATGGGAATCGGGACTAGTAGCCGGTTTCCTGCGGGCCGCTTCCCAGCGAGTCATGGGCCGCACGTTTGAGACCCCTGGGCTAAAGTGTTAGCCAAAGAAATGAGATGTAAATCCACGACCAGGGAATTGCAAAGGCTGGATACATATTTTGAGTTACCTTACTGCAGCTCACCTTAATATTTATAGTTTATGGTTTTTGATCGCGAGTCTCGTAAATAGAGCTTCTTGTTTTCGGTAAATACTGATGAACCCCGACAAATAACCCCTGAAGTGATCTTCATGGAAGCGGGGAAAACTGAAAAACCCAGATAAGGAGCTTGCCTTGAATAGAGAAATTCCCTTGTTTGGAGAAAGAAAATTTTATCTGTAGCTTTTTTTTTTTTTGGGGTGATCCTGAACACAACCCGTAATAGTAACTGTCCTTGAGGCTGCTTTCTTCTGTTCTTTGTACTGGGGTGATATTTTTTAACTAATTCGGTCACAGGCATAGGTTTAATGGAATGAAAGAAGACAGGACACAAGGGGGGGGGGGGCAGAGGAGGAGGAGGAGACAACGATACGATACGATACGATACAAGAGGGGATGAGACAAAGAGGGATGATTTGGTGTCACATATTTATACATATGCAGTTGTTTTATAACGGTAGCCCAGATTGGACCTCAATTTTTTTCCTGGCACTGAAAATAAACACTGAAAAACATTGATTACAAACATAAATCTTAAAACCCTGAAAGAATGTCCCCGCATATGAAAAAGGAAAAAATTCTCAGAACACGGAACCCTACTTATAAACAACTGGACTGATGAATACGGCTGAACTCTTCGAATCGTATGGTGGCTTGCACCACCTAGCTAGTGTTTTCATTTATCAGCTAGTTTTTGTGTGAACAATTAATGTTAAAGGAGCTGTGCAACAATTTGAATGCTTTGCTTAAATATTTGACACGGTGGGTGTAACAGCTTCAAAAAACGAGGACAATAAAAGAAATGTACACCTTTTTACAGTTTGCTTAAAGGGGCGGTGCAACGGTTTTATGATTAAAAGAATTTGCATCTCATTATTTTTACGTTGTTGATCATGTCCCCGAGGATAGAGAAAACACCTCCTTCATTAAAAATGTTGCAATTCCGCTGCATAATCGCAAAGCAAAAGTAAAGCTTTTTCCCCCACCTGCAGCCCCAAGTGGCCGCCGAAGGAACTACGGCGAAAGGATTACATGACCTCGGTCGGCTCTAAGCTGCAGCATAACGCCCGCTAATGTCAGCAGAGAGAGGGAGAGGAAGCATCCTCCGAGAGAGCACACGGGAACTTCCGCGGCACTCCGAATGACGTCACTAGGAGTGCGACCAGGTGTGACCTTGAAGGCTGGGAGTGAGTTGAGGGGTGCCCGAAATGCCAATATTTATCTTTTTTTTTACGCAACAACTAGGACACTTAGGCGAAATCGGTTTTCTGTTCTTTACTTCAGAAGTGTCAGGGGGCAACTTCCAGAAATCTTTGACCGAAGTCAAAAAGTTGCACCCCTCCTTTAAATAATTTGGGAGTTGGTGTCTCGACCTTTCTGAAGTAAAGAACAAAAAACCGCTTTTACCTGCATGTCCTAATTTTTATTTTAAAAATGGACAAAGATTGAGGTTTTCGGCACCTCTCAAGTCTTTCACCATCTTCCGAGTCACGTGCGCTGCGATGCAAAAGAAGGACGCGCAGGGTTCCGGTGAAGCTCTTTCTAGAGCCATCAGTGAGCAGCAGGGACCCACCCGCTCACGACCACGTGCTTGCGCAGCGCGAACTACATGCCAAAAGGAGGAAAGTGGCAACGTGCTCGTCTGGGTCCGGCCATCCCGTCCAGCTCTGCCCGTCCCCCTCCGGCTTCTGTTCGCGGTAGCAGATAGAGCCTACGGTTTTGACCTTGGATAGACGACGCCGCTAAAACTTCGTATAATAAAAGTTTTGTCGATGATACCAGGTTTTTGACGCATTCATATTTATGCTGGAACGACAAGATTTATAGAAAAATTACCTTTTATCGAGCAGGTATTTGCACAACTTGCAATTTTTTTACAAGTCCCCCTTTGACGTCGCGCCGCGTGGTTCTCATGGCCGCCACTCGTGGCTGAAGGTCAGGCAGTATTATCATTTTTGCCTCGCGATTACGCGGCGGTATCGCAACATTTCGAAGGAGATGTGTTTTCTGTCCTTTGCGACAAGATAAACAATGTAAAAAGTAGACGATGCAAATTCTTTTAACATTAAAATTGTTCCACAGCCTTTAAACCTTTTAATAATATCCTACCATTTCTAAAAAAATTCTGAACTTCTGATTGCAGGGCCACCTGTCGATCCTGGATGAATTGGAATTAAAAACTCCAATCCTCCCTGTGCCTTTGGTGAAAAAGTTCTGTAAAATTATTTTGTAACGTAGCAATTCTGCAAAAGTTCAATGATTATACTTCTCACGTGCAGAAAACTGTCATTAGCTTTAGCGTGCAAGTTGTAGTCTTGTTCGTATCTTACAGCCGATATGGAAAGTTTGGGCCAAGAACAGGGAATTGCACATATGCAGTCACTTGTATGCTTTACTGTCTCATGAATTTTAACCTTGTTGTGTACATAAAAATAAATAAATTTATTCCCGCTTGTAGTTGTGTGAACTAGTACTTCAGGTGGTGTACATGTATTCTTTGCAGAAATACTCGATTGGACATATTTTTACTAAAACAGCTGCCAAGTCAGCTCTCCTTTTCGTCCAATGGCATTTCTTGGTTTTGGTCATCGTTGGGGGCGTGTCCCTCCACACTTGTGGCTTCACCTCTGGTGGACTTATTTTGCCGCCAGAAGCTTCCTAGCTCCATGATCAAGTTGGTAAATTCCACAAAGGTTTATAATCATGCTTGGGAGGAGAGCGTGTTGGTTCAAGTGATAAAAAAAGAATAAAACAATTAAAACTGGAACACAACCCCATGGTTGTGTTGTCCCAGTTTTAATTGTTTTATTCTTTCTTCATCCATCATTTGTAATCACAGTGAGGACTTTGGTCAGCTGTGACAATTTAGCACTGATCAAACCTAGAAACATTCTTTCGTGGAGGAGGCAGGGGCGGATCCAGAGGATTCCCTAAGGGGGGCCAAAGGATTAAAAAAAAAGAAGGGGGGGGGGGGGGAACAGAGAGGGAACACTCGCTGCACACCTCATTGCGTGTTGGATCTTTGTTTAAATGCACATATAAATAGTAGAGAGGTCTTTCCTCCTCAGCGACACGAAGTCTCGCAATTCGGGACACGATTGCGATATCTCCCGCTTCGAAGTAAGGGATAACGAAATCTTGATTTAACTCTGTCTCCACTTGAAAAACATAAGACTATGGTTTATGTTTTTCAACCCCCCCTTCACCTGAATCCACCAGTGAAAGGAGGTGCAGAAAACGGCAGGAGAGGTATTAAGGCAATATTGAGTTTCAATTGTGAACTTTCCATTTTGGTCTATACTTGGGGACAACTTTTTTTGGCAATGCAGTCGAAGGTACAGGCATGCATGCCCTCTCCCATTTTGGGCTCTGGTTAAATCTCCGCACGTGCTGCCCTCTTGGGAAATGCCAAGAAAAGTTGGCTCCGAGTATCATAGTCTATATTTCTGTGCCCATAAACAATTGTCTAATATGGAACACTACAACGGCGCCACTTGAGAAGCCCTTTAGGCTCGTGCAACTTTGAATAATGATCCATTTTCAAAATTTCCTTTATTACAGAAATTGAGACCTGTACCCATCTTGTTCACTATCACATAGCTACAGAGTATGTACATGGAAAGTAATAGTCTTCCAAGAACCATAGAAAGCAATGTGCTTATGTACACGATGCATGTCAGGATGCCACCTTGGAGATCAAAGACCCTTCTTGTCCTACTTAATGATGCACTAAAACACAAACAAGTTCACATCAGGTTTCATGCTAAATGACCAGAAATGTTTCTGCTTGGTCAACAGTAAGCATCTGGTGTCGAAAGGCTACTCAACCGGGAACTCCTCTTCAACTTGTAGAAGGCACCAGTTGTGGTGAAGCACTTGGCACAGGTAACAGCAAGACTTAGTTCTTGTCCTACTCAAACTATGATGACCACAAACTCGCTGGCCCACGTCCGAATTTGGTATTACAACAACTACTTACCTTCAAGTTTTTATATATATATAAAGGAGAGAAAAAAAGACACCAACTAAATAGCACTTAAAGCCAACAGACGGAGACAGGTCATCTTGGTAAAATGGTTGGCAAGCAATTTCTAACATGTCCAGTATGGAATATATATTGCAGGTATCAGACAAAGTACTTGCTACTACAGCACACTTCTGCAATATGTACCATATTTTCCGGACTATATAATGTTAAAAGTTGAACATTTATGCGTGCAGACGAAAAACAAGAATGTTTTTGAAAATTGTTCCCTATGATGAGGTGTCATGGACTGTGAATGATGGTTCATGTTAATGATGAGGTCTGTATGACACCAGCTCTGTGCATTAATAAAGCAGGCAATTCCCAAGATGCATAGTGTATGGGAACTTTACCTATTAACTATGCACGTAATGTAAACTCTAAAGGGGAAAAAAAAAAAGAACTTGGTCAATGTTTGTCTTTGTGGGCTATACACCGGGTGCAGACTATAGTCCAGAAAATATGGTACATGATGTTTTCTGATGTACAAGGTGACAGAAGACACACTCCCTTCAAAACTCTTTGGCTGAATCGAGCCTTGCATTGAGAGTCCTCGTTTTGTAACGTGCCAGCATCTTTCGCACATTTCTCGGATTAAAACCAAAAGAGGAGATGCCCAGCAACAACTTGGATTGTTGTTGAACACTTAGATTGGTCGAGAAGCATGGAATTGTAATTTCATCCCTGTGACACACCCACATATTACATACTAAAATGATTGCACCAAGTATCACAACATAAACAAAAGAAAGAAGTGCCTTTTCTTTTCCACTTAGCCTTAACAAGCACAGGAAATAGAGCACTGGTTTCGAGTGCGGTGCCTTTCTCAAAGGGGACACAAAGATGTGCACCTGCCATATAGTACTAATTATCCACATAACATGACCAAGTTTTAAAAACTCTGCAGTTGTATTTCGATCTGTCGTCCAAAGCGTTTCGTGCAAAACTGCCGCAATTTGACGACGCATTCTCTCGTCGCCTTTTCCAGTCTTTTCTTTAGTCCGACGACACGGATGCCCTGATTGAGGGCAGGGAGTCTGGCAAGTTGTGACTCGTGCGACGACGCCCGAAGATGCACAACTATATTATTAGATAGAGCCAATCGGGCGGCGCCAAAAGTGTGTTGTCGTGGCACTTGTCTTTGTGCATCTGCTATTGCTGGCTAAACCAACCACGCAAGGCAAATACGGCATCATCCTACGCTTTATTCTGCGCAGAATTGGTTTTGTTGGCGATAGCAAACGCACAAAGACGACAAGCGCCGTGACGACGCACTTTTGGCATTGCTTGATAGGCTCGTCAGATCAAAGCACCGGCTGTGGTCGGACTCGACGTGGAACTGATTACAGTTGGAGGCGCGGAGGTTTGGCAGGCCGCAAACTCTGCTGCCTTCAGCGTCCCTCTGGGAACATGCCTCCAGAGTCTGGGTTTGCCTTTGTTAAAATGTAAGTGTGCATTAAATTAGACCGAAGCAGCCTGCCGGACAAACTATGTTATTAGCGAGTATCTCGCCAAAGTGAGACTATTTTATTTTTAGTGAACCTAACCGATTAATTATAATTAAAAATAGTTAACCTCCTAAATGTTGATTTAAGGGCCGAGGTGTCGATTGGAAAGTTGCGAGCACCTCGAGGAATGCCAGAGCAAGGTGTTTGCCACATAGTACGCCTTGCGGGCCTCTTTTCCCCAACCTAAACAGAAACCTGTGAAATATTAAAAAAAACCAGAACAATGTGCCAGAAACATAGAGTACTAACATGTACCACGGAAAAAAGAGCGGCCAACTTTGTTGTCTCTATGATTTCACTCTACCGTCGTTCCACATGAACCCAGTCTCGGGATACCATAGGCTCACGACAATTCAAACTCTGATATTTGAAACTCCAGTTAATTCAATTAAATATAAATATATTGGTTTTCAATGTATTTATAAGCCATTTAATTCAAACACCGCTTTCGTGTACCTCATACTCTTACGGTGGTAGCTGTTGGTGCCCCTTCCCGGCAAAAAATGCTCATGTACGAACGACAGAACGGCTTGTGTACACACTTTGGTTTCTTCCACCAGAGGCGCAATAAGGGTCGCCTCTGTTCTGAAAAAGCATTTCAGCACTCGAAAAAGCATGTCTCTGTGTCCTTCCCCAACACGAGGAACATTTCGCACAATCGTTCCACCAAAGCGAACATCTCGCACGCGTCTCCTACATCAATTTTACTGGAAGCAAAGAACCCATTAAAACATTGTGTATAGCACACTGGCTGAAGGCAAATCTCCTTAAACATGCCTTTTTACAATGCAGCAGCTACCGCTGTTGATCGCAACACACTTTGTGCGATTGTTTTGTTGTTCTAGCGGCCCCGTTGAGTGCGCTTCTTTGCAAGCACTGATGCACCGTGCAAAAGCAACACCCGTGGAGCGCTTCCACGGGTGTTGCCTCTCCGCAGTGCACAGGTGCTCGGTAAAAAGCGCGCCCAACGGGACTTATAGTCCACAATAGACAACCTTTTCAGTGCAGGAACAAACTTAACCTTGTTTTGAAATGTTATGTGTTGTCTAAACCGTTCACGATAGACATTTTTGAGGGATGAAGAAACTTATCTCAAAACAGTTCACCAATGCTTCAAGTGTAAGATACCTGCTTATGTTCAGTATGCCTGCAAAGAAAATCATCAAATATCAGCATTGCATCTCTAGCCATTCAAATAGCAAATCAAAAGTTTATCTTGCATCATATTTGGACGCATTTATGATAATTAAAACAAAATTTCTGGCTTCCTGGAGTTTGAATTAATGAAAGTCTAGTGTACTTGGTCACCCACAATAAATTCACTTTAGTGCCGAGCATAATAACAATTTCTGTAATCATAAAAAAGAAACTAGGGCACCCTTTGTGTAAAGACCTCAGAGATTGAATAAAAAAAAAGCAAATCACCAGCAGCTACAAGTGCTACATATCTATGCCCATACACCACAAGATGAAGCATAAATGCAACCTTGACAACACATACAGTACTGTTCACCACCGAGAAACAAACAACAGATTATTGTCAAGAAATAAAATGACAACAGCACACAGTGCAGACAACATCCGTAGAAAGAAAAAAAAAATCTTCTGAAGCAGAGAGTCAAACGGACAGCACCTTGTCCATCCACGACAAGAGCACCATCTGGTGATTGTCTGCATTCACTTTCACCTCAACCTAACCCTCATTCACATAGCCAAGAAAGAGGCAATGCTTTTGACCCTATCTATTTCCGTCTCTGCATGTGAAACAAGCTCGGAGGGGGGGGGGGCAAGATAACCATGCGGAACGCATTTATCTCTTTGGGCCCACTCCGCGGGCCCACCTTCACTTGTCGTACTATGAGTTCCTCTCGTCTTCAAAGGCTTCCCCCTCCCCTTCGGAGCCGTCTGCCGTCCCCTGCTCCTCGTGGACAGACTCGCTGTGCCTCCTTGGCGAGTCGGAGAGAAGAGGCCGCTTGTCGTTGTTCAATTCCGCCTCATTCTCCTCGACGTCGTAAATGGTCTCCGGCAGGGGCTTGCCCATTGTCTCCGGAAGCAGCAGCCCCAGCAATCCAGACGCCAGCATCATGAGTCCCAGGACGCTGAACTGGAACCCTGGCGTCACATCGTCCTGAAGTGGGCAGAACCAAACCGTGCTGAATGATCGGGAGACGCCGGGCACTAAACCAAGCCCCGGTCACAGTCCGAATTTCGCGGCATTGACATTAGCATCGCCACCATCGGCGGCGCTGTGATTAGCGCCGCCACTGACAGCAGCGCTTCGGTGGCGGGGGGCTCTTATTAATACAAAAATACAAATATGGAACTTTGTTTGCTAACAATAATTTCAACAAAACGTCCTCACCGCATCATGAAAATAAAATAAAATCTATTTTATATATTCATTTCTAGTATTTGTTTCTCCTTCGGTCTGGAACCAAAACCATAAATTGACCGGGCGGAGGTTACATGAGCAGTCAACTCGCTCGACTCGCCGGCGCCCTAGGCCTCGGCTCTTGGCGGCACTGCTCCCCTCTCTCAAATATGTAACTTCGTAACGGTTGTGTCATTGTGCGGCTGCTCGCTGTGCGTGCTCACCTGGCTTTGTTAATCTGAGGGTCGTGGCATTCGGCGTTTAGCGTGCCTGTCAAACTCGGCAGATATTTTTGGTGCACACTTTCAAAGACTTTTGAGGGGTGCATTTGACGTGGCCATGTCCAAAATGATGCACGAACAATGCAAATGCCAAATCCTACAAGTTTTTTTTTTCAACAAAGGACAGGTGCGTTTGTACTTCCCATACTCAGTTTTATTTGCTCAGCAAATTTACAATTGATATTTTGCTGCCCATAGTTGTTAGTTTGCAAGTAAACCGTACTGGAGGCAGGCTTGTTATTTTTATCTCGCAGTAAAAGCAAATGCTTTCTAATATCCTCCATGAAGTAAATCCCCAAACTACTATGGTTTTAATGAGGCTAATGGCGCACACTTAGCCACACTTCGATTTATGCACAACTGCATATTTAAAGCGTATCAGTAGGGCTTAACCTTGAAAATGGTCTCGGGCAGTCCTTGAACAGACGGAGGATAGAGATAGAATTTGTTCTCTATATTTTAATATGAATTTTCATTCATTCTGGTCCCGGTCCGACAACAGCATTCTTCGTCATTACTTTGTTCTCTATTGTGTCCCGACTATTTAGATAAGTTTAAAATCCTAAATATCATGGCCACATTGTCGTAGCAGATGCTGGGACATGGAACAAGCGTTTGAATGTTGTCTCACGGAGGAAGGCTTCGGACACTTCGTAGTTCCGAAACTGAGTGCCACCATTTCCGAAGCTTTATTCCACCACCTTTCCACCTTGCTTGTGTGAGGAGCTTTGAATGTGTAAAAAGGAGGCTGAAGATTACTGGAAGCTACCTGAACTGGCTTATTTCTTAAATGAGTGAACAACTTATTTACTTTCAGTGAACAATTGATCCAACCTGGCATGTGGAATGCTCAATTATGTGGGTCAACGTGCACATTTGTAAAGATATATGTTAGTGGTAACTGTAATATTTCTTTGGGTTAAGGAGAGCTGCGGCACTGCAGAAAGGCAAATAGCCCATTCCCAAGATGTGCGGTGCCGCACGTAATAATGAAGTGACGAGATCATGCATAGGATGCAGTCTTGGGTAAGTTACTTTTAAAAAGTAACGACGTTACTTTTCAGTTACTTTTTTATAACAAAAAAAATTAGGAAAAACTAGAAAATGCCCCTCACCAAGTTTTATTGCATAAAATTAAAAAGTATGCTTTTTACTTTATGTTGTAACTTAGCAGAAGTTGCTTCTCGAAATTAGTGTTTCAAAATTTCCATGCCAGAGTAGTGACGCAAATCAAAATACGAAACATGCGCAGTGCGGAGTACTGGCGCTAATCAAAATACGAAACATGCGCAGTGCCCTCCGTGTGTATTGTTGTTTCACGGCTGATTCACCCAATTAAAAAGCGTTTTCACAGAAAAAAGAAAAACCACAACATAGATAGTGCTTCAGAACACTAGGACGTAAGTGTTCAGACACAAAGCACGAGCGCGAGCGTAAAGATAACTAGATTTTTTTTCATGAAATCTACACGTGGCTATATTCGGGTCGTGACTCGTGAGAAAGAACGCATTCACAAGTTTGTGCAAGGCCAACTTGACACTCGAAATGTCGGAATAGACGATTTGAAAAATGTAAGGAATATCTCAATTGTGTTTGTTCAGTGAGATATTATTCATAAAACACTGGAAAGTAATGACAAAAGTAACGTCGTTACATTCATCGTTACCCCAGAAAAAAGCAATAGAATTACAGTTACAAGTTACATTTTAAAAAAGTAACTCATTACAGTGACAAGTTACCAAAAAAGTAACGAAATTACAGTAACGCATTACTAGTAACGCGTTACTACCCAAGACTGATAGGATGACAGAGAGGTGCTAGATGGAGCTTGTGGACGAGGGTAATGAAGTGACTCTGTCAATGTTTTTTTTTTTTTGAGCATATTCAAGTGCAGTGCTGTACTTAATTAATTTGTGCATGACTAATGTACAATAAATATGCATCGAAATATTTCGGTCGCAGCTCTCGATTCCTTATTGGACGGGTGGACATCTTGAAACAACGACGAACACACACGACTACGCACCTTATACAACTGAAAATGAAATCGCACATGGCAGGCATGTACTACATGAGGGACTTTAAGCAAACCGTTATTGTGTTCCACGTACCACACTATCAGAGCGTCTGAAGTATGCTTTTTAAGCGCGCGCCCAGAGTGATACCGTGACCGCAGGGCACGCACTTATAAAAGAATGCTTCCAAGGCTCCAATAGTGCAGTACGCGGTAACAGTTTGCCAAGAGTCCCTATTATTATACTACTGAGACCGGGCGTGCTGCTCAGGAACCTCGCTCCAGTACGACCCCAAAGCGATCGTACGACAACTGCCCTACAAAAATTGGGGGGCACCAAGTTGGATTCTTTATGGCTTGGCATAGAAACGGCTTCAAAGTAGGCTACTATGTTCCAAACGTGTTATAAAAAAAACATTTGGGAAAGTCAGTCATGTATATTATTAATACCGCAATTAGTTGTTAATATGATTTTATGATCTACCGAATATAAAATAATATGTTGACTCGTTCAAGCAATGAGAGCTCCCCACCCCAGATGAGGAATTCGGCGCTACTGTATAAAAGTCAACGCCATTGGCCCTATGGGAAATGTCCGAGGGTTGACTAAACTCCCAAGAGGCTGACTGCGCAGGGAGCGCCCAAATTTGTTTTAAGCCTTCGATTACCTATGATAAGCCTGGCTGATTCAGCAAAGGACATTTTCTGAACGATTCTCAAATGGTGGGAGGGTGGGAGTGTGAGGTTATGTGGAGGGCAAGTCGTCTGCTCCTTACACAAGGGTTGCGATGACGTCAGTACGCCGAGCTCTTATCGGCCGATTGAAAAAAAAATAGTGGGTAGACCTCGGGGCATCTAGCAATGAGGTCTTTCCACTACTCAGCGTCGTTCTGACGTCACCACAACCCCTGCGCAAGAAGTAGACGACTTGCTTTCCGCATGGACAGGCACGCTGTTTACAAACAAATCAGCGTTTGTTCACACCGGTTCTGGGCACTGCACGTGTGCAGAAACCAGATTCGTGCGAAGCGAAGCGTCCGCACGTACGCCATGCCGACAACAGCATCCCTGCAGTGGTGCGACGTCAAGGACGCACGTTGGTGTACGGCTTCCGATATGGCAGTTTACTTTGCAGTGGCGGTAGAGGCGAGGCTGTAGAGCAAGCATCTGGGCTTGGAATGTGTTTCAGTGGCACGAGTAAGAGAGCCTGCCAGAGTTACAACAACGTGCCTGGAAGCTCCAGTGGCAAAGAGTCGAGAATTCGGCGGAAAATGTCCCAGAAAGGGATTGCCAGCTAATGTTTCCACTCGTTTTCTCAATGTCACAGCTTTAGAACAAACAGTTTTCAATATGACAGCGTGGCCTAGCATCGAGGCTGTTGGCAACGCCAACTTCTCACTGCAGTTTTACTGCTCTTTCCCTACCAGGGTTTATTTCGCAGCGTGATGCTGGTATCCCCTTTCGCTGAGAGTAGTTTCTGTACGAAGGAGTTAGAATCAGCGTTTGTGTTGCCATCGAAGTGCAACATTGACGAAACGCTGCGGCGACCACCACTGAAGTGGTTGCACTGCACGAAATGCGCGTGCTTGCTCAAGTGACTCGTCCTCACCGAGACGCTTTACCGGACGTCGTCTCCTTCTCCAGCCGCTCTAGGGTTAATAAATGAAAGTTGTCCACTGAGATAATGCCCTGGAAGTAGTTTTTAGGTGCCCGTTAAATATGACGGTCCCTTCGAGTCTCATTGTTGCAATCAGTCGCACGGTAAAGTGGTATTTGCACGAAGAAGAAGTTTGTGGAGGGACGTGCAAGACGTAAGCAGCGGACACAGTTCCTTTCTCAGCTTCGTCAGTCACATGAACGAGGTGCCAATGGCAGGGACACCAGCATTAGCAGTAAAATTTGCCGATTTCCTTTCTCGACACTGAAGCTTTGAGCAATAATTAACAAAAGCAAACTGATCCACTACTAAACCAAGATAGTTTATGCCGCCTGAGCATCCCATCTCCCCCTCTGTCGCAAAGGTGACATCAAAGTGCCACACCACAAAAGGGTGACACAAAATTTGTCCGATTTTTCCCTCGTATGAATATCGCTTTTTAAGCTATGATCGATGGGGACACTGCCGTGCCAGAGTAACCCCATCCCACCACAGATGAAGCTGTCGTGGCACTTAGTCGAAGTTGGGTTTACCCACACCTTCAAGACAACGGGTCTCGCTACGCAAATATTGTGCTATAAAATAAACACATATTTCTTTCAGAGAGGTCATTTTGCAATATAAAAGGTGATCTCAAAATCCACTTTGGTACCCCTTTAACCAGGTGCCTATCACTTGTTGGCGGAGCTTCTCTTCAAATGTTTGGTTGTCACTGGCTACTGTAGTACACTTTGCTCTTCCTTATCACATTTGTTTAATGCCAATCATGTATAAGCTTTGGTTTACACATGACAAAAAAATCACTTGATTGGGAACTCAACCCACCAACTCTTAGCACACTCAAACCAGCAATGAATGTAAAAAATATTAAACGAGCTATTTCTTGAGGTTATTTATTTACCATTTCATATTTCCTCCATTGCATTCAAATGTGAATACCTATCTTTCAAAAATTAGAGAAAAAACTATAGGTGTGTGAATATAACATTCTTTTTATTCTTAATCAAATATGAACATTTAAATTTAACTGCAAATCACATTAAATATTCTTGAATACTAATACTTTTCATATTGCTGTGAACTGAGCATGGATGCTTCATGAAATCATAGCTGTAAGCATTTCCTAAAAAAAAGACCTATAAAAAAGAAGTCACATGAGAAACATTTCAATGCATGACAAAATTTCATGTGTTGACCCATAACTTGGTTAAAGGAACACTGACAGGGTATTCATGCTCACCAAGTTTTTTATTTTTACATGAAATACGAGAGCCTGACTACCCAGAACACAATTTACAGCTCAAAATGTGTTTTCTTTCCACCCGAAAACTGTCGATCGAGAACTGGTCGGTTTGAGCCGCACCCACTCTCTTCTTTGCGGTTATGTGCCGTTTTCTATGGTTTAGACACAACCACCAAGGATAATCAAAGTCGTGGGTCATCGAAAGCACACACTCAATACAGTCTAAGCTAATGATAACAGACCTTGATTTTGACCAAGATTTCCTTCTGTTGTAAAAGGAGTATGCAGTATGCAGATATGAAGTTTAGTCAATACAGTCGAACCTCGATATAACGAACTTCAATGTAACGAAATCCTCGATTTAACGAAGTATTTTATTTTTCATAATTTCTTGCCCATAGACCCCATGTATTTTTAGTCTCTATATAACGAAGTCTATTTTGCTGCTATTTCAATATAACGAAGCGCCATTGCCATAGAAGGCAATAAATAAATCAACTCTAAAAAACAACTTCGCAAAAAAATTGTGGCTAAAAAAAAAAAAAAAAAATTATGCGCAAACGCGATCGCTTGATAGGTTACTTCACGGGGACAGGCCTTCCAACGTTCCTATACTTCGTTTCAGCTTCGGTCCGAGCGCGGCCGATGTTATAAGCCAAAGGGCCAATCAAACAGCGAAAGAGGCACAACGTCACGGCGTGCTCTCTGCGCTTGATAGGACTAGCCGGCGGAGGAGCACGCACAGAGAGACGGCGAATACAGGCTGGTCCAATTAACTGCAGAGAGCACGCCATGACGTTATGCCTCTTTCGCTGTTTGATTGGCCCTTTGGCTTATAACATCGGCCGCGCTCGGACCGAAGCTGAAACGAAGTATAGGCTGCCCGAGGATGCGGCGCAGGTAGCGCCGGCGAGGCATGCGGCAAAGCGCATTCCGCGGGGCTGGCCAGAAAATGCCGAGCAAAAAGTTAACACGGCATAACAGCATCACCACTGACATTCACTGATCATCATAGTCCACTGTATCGCGGGTAGCGCGGGAGCCAACTTCAGCGGGGGAGCGACGTGATGGCGCGACCGCGCGACCGCACGGGCAGTGCCATCTAGGAGAAGACCGAGAAGACCGATTATCGTCTTGCGAGCGTGATGTAAAGCAAAGGCGCAAGCACACTGTGGGCGCAAGGGGGCAAGTAAACTGTGCGGTCAAGAGTGCTGTGTAGGTTGGAAACATTAGCACCGCCTAAACTAAACAGCTTTATTTTTTAACCGGGCGGTTCACTCACGTGCTTGCTGCCATAAGGAAACGTAAAGTTATTTCTTTGGATGAGAAAGCAAATGTTTTGGACGCCATCCTGAAGAAACTGCCGAGATCACGAGCACTCGGGAAGTGCTCGACGCAATGGACGTACTGAGGAGGTACACGGCGTCGCATGGGCAGCAAGATGCCGTGCAAGCGCTCTGGGCGCTCGAACGCCGTATTGGCCGTATGACGCCACTGCTACTGTCGGACAAGGCGCAAGCAAAACTAGCGGACTACTTTGCCCCTAAATAAATGTCATTTTCGGTGAGTTTTCATACCCGTAAAATGTTTCGGAATTTTTTTTTTCGCATGTTAAAGCCAAATTTCGATTTAGCGAAATTTCAATGTAACGAAGTAAATTGCGAATTTTACCGACTTCGTTACATCGAGGTTTAACTGTAGTATGTGGAGGAAAACCAACCAAACTTCACAAATCGGTATGTTATATTCAAATGTCTGTAGTAACCAGGTCTGTTGTAATGAGCTTAGACTGTAGAAATGGACAAAAAATATGATACCGATTTTTTATAACTTCTAAATAGCTGCAAATATATTGATTGAAAAAGAAAGTTGCACAGCCGCGTGGCTTCTGGTATCTTTCTCCTCCTCATATTATTTCTTCATTCCCAGTCCACTTTCGGTTTCGAGAATTTTTGTTTTTTTACTTTATTAGAAATATATCTGTCACTGTAGTAAAATATTGATTGGGTAGTCTTCTGACCCCATAATAGTTTGCCTGGCAAAAAATAAAAAAATTTTTTTGGGGTGGGGTGTCAGTGTCTTTTTAACACATAAATGGGTGAATGTCTATTCGTGATCAATTTACTATGGTCGTCCCAGCACGCTATGGCCATGCTGGGAAAACCAGAGCGCTGCTGGTCATGGATTGATGTTTTGTGTCAATCCACCCAAACTCTCCTCTCTTGCTGATGCAGGCACCTCCATACTGTTGTAGCACTCTTCTATGAATCGCATAAGGTTTCATATCCTCCGTCAAAAACAATCTGATGACTGCTCGCCACTCCCCAGTGGTGCAAACAGCTAAGGGTGCTGCCCTTCTGTATATGCTGCCTTTCCTGTTAAGCATGTCATACCACCTATTAGGCAATCTGTGCCTCCTATAAGAATGTGCACTCCAAGACACTGTTGGTAAGAACAAGCCATACCCGGTCTTCTCTATTTTTTTTCTTCTCGGCAACAAAGAATTGTGACCCAAACTATTACAGTGTTGGAAAGTGCTCAGCTGAGGTACTAACCTCAGTGGTAACTTTTGATTCCTTCCAGTACCCTCCAAAGTAAAATGCAAAGAAGTGCCAAAGTTGTGTTTGTGGCCACAGTGTCACACACTGTATCTTCCTTGCAGAATACTTAGAAATGCCTATAGTGTTCGCTTCGTGATACAACGTTACTTTTTGGAACACCTTCTTCCTCCTTTCCCACCTTTCAACCCTAAGCCTCTCCTGCCCCAAGAGCTTGATCCCTGCCCCTGAGCAGGGGTAATGAAGAGTCACATCCTCTTATTTACGCTTTCTCTTTCCCTCCTCCACCACCCTCACTTCCTTGGAGGATGAAACTAAGAAGATTTTCTGCCTTGCAGAAAACCTGAGATCTATGTTGACATTTCAAGGTCCATTTCACCCAAAACATTCCAGTAGTGGTTTTGTTACAAAGAACATAATTATACTAGTCATGTGCTCAAAACGTGCGAACAAAAAGGGCAAAAATTGAATTCCTAAAGCTGAGGACCACTTGAAACAAAGCAACTGTTCATGCATTCTGAAGTGGCTGACAAGGTAGTGATCACTTCGATATAAATAAATTTTTTTTTAATATTTGATACACCAAAGAGCATGCTGGGTTGGTAGTCGCACATAATGCACGTGCTGACATCTGCAGTAGCAATTTCTTAATTAAAAAAAAACCTACAATAAATGGCACTTTGCACATCCACTTGTCGGTGCCTTATTTTAGTCCTTCACTTATAATCTTTCCTTCAAACAGGGTGGGCACGCACAGCATACGCTTACCCAGTGCAGGGAAATTGAATTCTTAGCAAAAAAAAACATGGCCAAATGTAACACATCACCACTGCAGCAGTTCCTGTGTGAACACAAAAGACCGCAATTGCAACAGTCATGTTGAGGAAGGAGTTTCTCTGTGTGAAGCCAGTCAGTAAATTTTACTTGCTTTTAATCACTCCAGTGATAAAGAAAATCTGGTGTGCAGGATGTGTGCGGTTACTTCCTTATGCGTTTTGTTGGAGCGGCCCGACAGTTAGCCCCGAGCAGCACGAGAAAGCACACGAGACTCACCAGAAGACTGACGAATGGAGAGATTATGCCACCAATCCGTGCAGCTACCGATGCCAGCCCCATCCCGACGTTCCTGGGAATGAAACAGTACCGTATAACCTTGTTACTACAGATCTGGTTACAACAGGTATTCAGTTATAACATACCAAATTTGTGAAGTTTGGTTGGTCTTTCTATCTATGCCATTGAGCCAACTTCGCTTATTACAGATTCTGTTATAACATACATTCAGACATAATGAACTACATCAAGGAGTTTGTAAGGAGTTTACAATTTCATTATAGCAGACTCTTCGACAGAAGTCATTATTTAGGACATTACGCGGCTTTGGTTCGGTAGCAGTGGCATCCATTGTGCTAACTGATGTCATTGCGCTTGGTACCTCAAGAGCCTTGCATGACCCAAAGTGGTGACAATCATCAGTAAAGCTCAATAAAAAAATTTTCAGCCTTTCCACTCTGGTGAGAAGGAAGACCAGCGAAGCTGTACTATGGTGGGAATGAAGTAATGGCCGGCCGTAAGTCGGCAAGCCAGAGTGAAAAGGCTCGAAAGGTTGCCGCCATCTACGAGCAACGGTGTCAACCAGACAACCGGAGCTGTCCAGAGTGTTGCGTCGACATTTATTTGCTGGTTGACACGATCCTGAGCAAACTAACCCTTGAAGGTGTACTCCGGCGATTTTTGAGCTATCTCAACTAACTATATTTTCTGACTCCCCGGCCTTTGCCCTTCCCGGTATGCTATTTTGTATCACGAAATTCATAATAGTTATTGGGAAATCGGCAAATTAAAATGACGCAAAAACCAACATTCAAATATACCCGCACTTTTCAGTGCCGTGACGTCAGTGGAAGGCAAGCTTGCCAGTCGAGCGAGCAGTTTAAAAAATAGAATATGCCAATCATTTGTTTCGTGCTGGAGCGCGGGGACCGGAGCGAGCTTCCAAAGCATTCATCTGACACTATGAAACTGCTTCGAATCAGTTGGGAACAAATTCTACAGTCCAAACAGTGAACCCCTGCACTTCCACTGACGTCACTTTTTCGTTGTTGCCAGTAGAGACTTTCAGTGTGGAAAACACGGTGAGGACCAAAATTTTAAATTCAATAACTTCGTGAAAAAAAATGAAAGCCTTTTACGAATCCCTGTAACGCCGAATTAGAGCGCAGCTCTTGAGGAGGAGGAGGGAAGGGCACTGGGGGGGTTAAACTAACCAGGGGAGGGGTCACGTGACCTTGGGGGTCACGTGAGCCCCAATGCCGATGATGTCATCACTGACGACGTCATCAGTGACGATGACGATGCGGGTACCGATGACGTCATTAGTGACGTCACTGATGACTTCACCAGTGATGATGACGATGACGATGTGAATGTCGGTGACGTCATCAGTGATGTCGCTGATGACGTCATCAGTGATGATGACGATGACGATGCGGATGCCGGTGACGACATCAGTGACGTCACTGATGACGTCATCAGTGATGATGACGATGACGATGCGGATGTCGGTAACGTCATCAGTGATGATGACGATGCGGATGCCGGTGACGTCATCAGTGATGATGACGATGACGATGTGGATGCCGGTGACGTCATCAGTGATGATGACGATGACGACGTGGATGCCGGTGACGTCATCAGTGATGATGACGATGACGATGTGGATGCCGGTGACGTCATCAGTGATGATGACGATGACGATGTGGATGCCGGTGACGTCATCCGTGATGATGACGATGACGATATGGATGCCGGTGACGTCATCAGTGATGATGACGATGTGGATGCCGGTGACGTCATCAGTGATGATGACGATGACGATGTGGATGCCGGTGACGTCATCAGTGATGATGACGATGTGGATGTCGGTGACGTCATCAGTGATGATGACGATGACGATGTGGATGCCGGTGACGTCATCAGTGATGACGATGACGATGCGGATGACGTCATCAGTGATGATGACGATGACGATGCGGATGCCGGTGACGTCATCAGTGATGATGACGATGACGATGTGGATGCCGGTGACGTCATCAGTGATGATGACGATGACGATGTGGATGCCGGTGACGTCATCAGTGACGATGACGTCATCGGGGGGTCACGCGACATCGGCGGGGGTCACGTGACCTCGAGGAGGGGGTCACGTGACCTCAGGGGGTCACGTGACCCCGGTGGGGGGCTCGCGCGGTGCCTTATGGGACATTTCCCATGATGCACCGCGCGGTTCCGCCGACGGCGACGGCGACGCCACTCAAGCCGGAAACGGGCCCCTAAGAGCTGTGCTCTAAAAATGAAAGCCTTTTACGAATCCCTGTAACGCCGAATTGGAGCGTAGCTTTTGAGGAGGAGTAGGGAAGGGTACTGAGGGGGGTCAGATCACCTGCGGGTAGTCACGTGACCCCGGGAAGGTCACGTGATCTCGGGGGAGGGGGGGTCACGTGACCTCGGGGGGGGGGGGGGGGGTCACGTGATTTCAAGGGGGGTCACGTGACCCCCCCCCCCCCCCCCCTTGGTTACGCCGACGCCGCTCAGGCTGGAAACGGGCCCCTAAGAGCTGCGCTCTAAAAAAGTGAAAGCCGTTTACAACTCCCTGTAATGCCGAATTGGAGTGCAGCTGTTGAGGAGAAGGATGTAAGGGTACTGAGGGCCACATGTTCTCGGGGGGGGGGGGGGGGGGGGGGGGTCACGCGACGTGGGGGGTCACGTGACATAGAGGAAAGGGTCACGTGACCCACCTTTGAGGTCACGTGACCTCGGGAGGGGGTCACGTGATCTTGGGAGGGGGGTCACAAGACTTGGGGGTGTCACGTGACCTAGGGGGAGGGGTCACGTGACTCCCCAGGCCACGTGACCCCCCCCCCCCCCCCCGTCACGTGACCAAAATTTCCCCGCGAGATTTAGAGGGGAAATTTTTCCGCTAGATCTAGCGGGGAAATTTTTCCGCTAACTTTAGTGGGGAAATTTTTCTGCTCAATTTAGCGGGGAAATTTTTCCGCTAGATTTAGCGAGGAAATTTTTCCGCTAGATTTAGCTGGGAAATTTTTCTGCTAGATTTAGCGGGGAAATTTTCCCGCGAGATCTAGCGGGGAAATTTTCCGCCAAATTTAGCGGGGAAATTTTTCCTGCTAGATTTAGCGGGGAAATTTTTCCGCTCGATTTAGCGGGGACATTTTTCCGCTAGATTTAGCAAGGAAATTTTTCTGCTAGATTTAGCGAGGAAATTTACCCGTAATGCACCCCGCAGTTACGCCGACGCCGCTCAAGCCGGAGACGGGCGCCTAAGAGCTGCGCTCTAAAAATATTTTGACCTAATACAGTATAGACCACTTACAACGTAACCACTTATAGTGCAGGACCGGGTATAACGCGGCTTTTTTTAAACCACCGGTTCGTCTCCCATAGAACTCCATGTAATTGCATACCGCTTAAAATGCAGGCGCGCGAAGGGAAATACCGGTTATGGTGCGGTTTCTGGAACAGCCCGCCGACCGACCAATGCAGCGAGCACGCTTCCCTGTGCGACACTAGATAACGGCGCTAGCCGCAAGCGGCACTCGCGGGGCAAGACGTGGGGCAAGGAGGTTGCTCGAAGAAGCAGGGAGACGCGAAGAGAGAGGCTTCAGTCGCCATAGCAACGGAGGGACGCACGCACGTGTCGTTCACGTGCGTGCGTCCCCCCGCTGCGTTGGAAAACAACCGCAACGACAGACCAATCGCAGGTCGAGGAGAAGTGTTCGCGCGCGTTGCATGCCGGTCGCGGGCCGGCTGCTTCTATCCGCAAACATGGCGGCGGTTGTAATTGTCGACGTAGATGGCGTGGTTATGGTGGCTAGCATAGCGTGGTGGAAGCTCATCGTTCCGCGTAAAAGCGCTATTCTTGACTGTGAATTTTCGTTGTGTGTCGCTATGATAACCCAGCACGTACTATAAGGGAAGATCCACGGACTCGTGCGGCGATGTCGTGGCGGCACTCTCAAGACGGCAGAAACGCCCGTGTCATCGTGTTTGTTTACTTCGACTACAGTGGTGATTTCTAAGCATTTGTATTTTCGAACATCGCCTGGATTTCTTATTTGGAGCATTTCATGCCTGTGCTCAAAATGAAGGTATTACTGGCGCGTACCGTATAAAGGATGCGAATTTTTACGCGTTTTCATTACCGGAGAAAAGTGATTAGGGTTAGCAATGCTGAACGCTTGCAACGTCCGTCCGCAACCCCCGACGCCGTTAAAAGGCTGCGTCAGGCAAAAGTCCCTTATTTCTTTCAAAATGTGTGACACACTTGAGAGAGAAGCGAGAGAAGTGTACTAGTCTGATGAAATAACGACTTTCCTCAAACTAAGCTTTATTTTTCATCTAATAAATAACGAAACTACGTACAAGTACCTTGGTGTCACACTGTCATCAGACTGTTCTTGGAATGCTCAAGTTGATGATGTCATCCTAAAAGCTGGCAGGGCGCTCAATTTTATTCAACGGAATTTGAAATGTTCACTACCCGAATTAAAGAAAACCGCGAACTTAACATGTGTTAGGCCGATTTTAGAATATGCCTGCGCCGTCTGGGACACTCCGCACGTAACCTTGATTGACAAAGTGGAAAGAATTCAAAATAGAGCTGCTAGGTTTGTACTGGGTCGTTATGTGCGGAGGGAGAGCTGCACTAAAATGAAAAGCGAATTGAATTGGGAACTACACTCTTCTTGACGAGAAAAGTTGAGACTGAAGTTTTTATTTCTCATATATAATAATAAAACTGGCATTAACAGAGAAGTATATTTAAAACACCCACATTATGTTTCTAGGCGGACTGACCACGCTTTCAAAATCCGAGAGTACCACGCCAGGACGAACATGTATGCAAATTCTTTTTTTGTTAAAACCATTGCAAAGTGGAATAGGCTGTCTGAAGACCAGGTGTGCTCTACAAATGAAGATGTATTTTTTCAAAACTGTAACCCCCCTGCAATAACGCCTCCGGGCTATGCGGGGTAATCTTTGAATAAAGAAAAAAAAAAAGAATAACATAAAATAAATTCTTTTACAAAGGTAAGTTGTCTGACGGCACATATTTTGGCCTGAAAAATTGATGTTTTGGATATAGTGCGGTACCGCTTATAGTGCGGATTTTCGCGACTCCCGCAACACACGTTATATGCGGTCTACACTGTATTTGGGATACTATTTTGGCGATGTTGTTTGGCGAGTTTAGCGAAATTTCAAGCAAATCGGGGACCATGAAGAAATCGCCGGAGTACCCCTTTAACAGCTCCGCCGTAAAAATCGTTGCCTTCCAAAGTTTGCAAGTTTCAATAAACCAGTTCTCTTGTACAATGTAAATTCACATGTCAGTCTCACTGATTAGAACAGATTTCAGTCATATCCACCTCAGAGTGCGTAGTAAAATTAGCTGCATTCTCCACACTTCTTTTACAACAAACCAAAATCTTTGTCACTATCAAGGCCTGTTATTAGAAATGAGTTTATAGTTACGTCAAATAAAAATGCTGAAAACAACTCCCACAGTTTACACAAGTCTCACAAAGGTGTAGGCTATGTCCTCGTGGCACATGAAGGTGTTATGAAAGAGGCGTCACAACAAGGGCGTCTATTGGGTCTGAATATTTTAACAAAATTCTGCAAACTCGTGTGGAAAAAGAGTTTGCATGCCATAAATGGTGCCAATGCAATGACACTGCAGATTGTGACCAGATTGTGGTGCCAAAAAGAATGAGCAAGATGAAAGTGACCAGACGTCCCGATTTAGGCGTGGCAGGTCCTGCTTTTCTGTCCGTGGTCCCGTTGTCCCACATGCGTGCCTGTGGGACGGTGTTTTCCCGCTTTGGCTCCCCCGAATCCCGAATAGATAAAAGACGCAGCTAGACTAAAAGATAGCACCAGTGGGAGGGTGCTTTCCCAGAAGAATGTACAAGATTCGCTTGGCAGAGAAGGTGCTGATAATATGGGCATGTTATCTGCAAAAATCAATACATTAATACTAAAGAAATATGCATAAAAAGAAATGTGTGCGGTCCATATGAAATACTGAAAAGGTATGATTTGTTACCAAAATTTAAAGTTTTCAAGCCTTACAACACTATTAGTACCCCCTTCTCCTTCCTCCCTCCCTCCCTCCCTCCCTCCCTCCCTCCCTCCCTCCCTCCCTCCCCCTCCCTCTCCCTCTCCCTCTCTCCCTCCCTCCCTCCCCCTCGCCCATACTAGTCGTTTTGGGGCTCGAGGAATATGATCACCTTAAGCAAGATTCACGTTAAAACGTTAATTAGAAATTGAATGACCATTGTCATTATCGTCAAACTATGGTGGAACCTTGGTAATCTGATATCATATTCTTTCTGAATTGAGTATGATTCGTGGAATTTCCACAGTCCCGTAATTTGTCGCAGAAATAGGATTGGATAACGTGAGCGCTCAATACACACCTACTCGGTTAATTTGATGCAGTAGTATTTCCGGTTACGTTTTGTGGCCCGTTGTTGAATTTGGGTGCAGGGCCACCCAAATTCAACAACAAAAAACTACATCCAACGAGCCTCTATATCTTTTTTTTTAATGCGACAGCATTAACTGTTTCATAGAGCAAGCCGACGTCATCAGCTTTGAAACCACGCCAAACTGCTCTTTTACACCGCTTCGATCCCATTGGCTAGCGCGCGTCCACAGCCAACGGCATCTTTTACACCGCTGCGACCCCATTGGCTAGTGTGCAATGACTAGGCTCCCACTCGCCAGACATGCAGCGCCATGGGGTGGGCAATTGTTGAAACTGACGCGCAGACTCGGCCACCTCATGGCGCTGCGCGTCCGTCAGCGCCCCAGTCAGCGCGCCAACACGCGTAGAGCAAGATTGATGTACATGCTTTCGCATTCACAACTCATAAGAAGTGCTTAGGTGTATTTTTTTTTTGTTCCCTGTTTGCTGATCTTATATGCACTCACAAAGTCCTTTCTTCCCTCTCGTTTCACGTTATTGTCATAGTTGTTGCATTACTCATAGTTTGCTGTTCGACTAATTTGCGTTGTGCTGTTCACAAGCTCGTGGTTTTTTTGCTGTGGCGTAGGAGCCACAACCCGTGGTCTGGCACGTGATTTTAAAATAGCGAATACAGCGGTGCACTTGTTTCAACTTCAAAAGGAGTTTGTCAATCATCAACCATTTCTTTAGATCCCAATTGTAGTGCTCTCTTTCTCAAATGCAATAATAAGAGCCATATAAGTCTGCAAAAGTGTCTGGTTTCTCAAGCACAACCTACCTGACAATTGTGGGCATCAGTTCTGCAGAGTACAGGTAGATGATAGCAAAGGACATGGAGATGCACATCTTGGCAACCAGTGAAAGCGCATTCTCCACCGTGGCTCCGTACACAACTGAAAAAGTGTTATAACACCGCCATCACATGTAAACTCACAAAGAACTTTGTACATCCTACCTTGTTCCATATATGCACAACCAAAATAGCAATTTTGGCATGGAAGGAGACAATGGTTTGCTAGAAAGACAATGGGACTGGCTTTCAACATTGAAGCTACGTTAACTTGCAAATCAACATGCATGCAGAAAGTACTATTATCACTAATCATATTTTTTCTGCCTTGTGCATATATGACAGAATTTAAAGGTCAATAACCAAAATCGAAACAAACACCGTGGTGCGATCATGTCCCTTCTGTTAAAGCCACGGCTTATCTACAGGAAAAATTTAGCACAGTCTCCAATATTAATTCTATCACGCACAGGCTATGTCAAGTCAGCAGTGGACTGATAAATAGAACACAAACAAGCAACAAAAGGCACTCAATAGATTATCTATTAATGAATTCAGTTATGAAAACGAAGAAAATTATTGTTCTTGCAATAAATGTTTAACTTTGCATGCCCATTTAATTTTCGACTCCGAAGGGTTACTTTCTTGGGAATAAAAAGAGTTAATGAAACTGTTTCAGAAGGGGATAGAACTCTGGACAAGTTTTGGAGACCAAAGTCAACTTACTTCCCCTTGGGACAATGAGGAACTGTAATTTTTTGTTCCATATCACCGGAATAATTCTTTCACTTGCAAAACATATTCTCTTTAGTTCTTAACTCTTTCTATACTACGTGGAAAAGCAATGATTTTTAAGGGTAGGACAAAAGATTTCTTATTTTAAGAACTACTCAGCATATATCACAAATTATGATAATCAAAATGTAGCCAATAACATGCTCTTTAGACAAAAAATAAAGGTTTACCTTAATTTCTAAAAAGTTTGTCAAATTTAAATTTTAAACTTCGAGTTTATGCAAAAATAAGAACAAGAAGTCTAAACATTTGCAGCTACATTATATCATACTATTATTTTTAAAAATCCTAACTGTACAAAGTGTGCCTCATACACTCCACTATCACCTCTAAGCTAGCTGATACTGCCTTTTTTTAGTTCGTCGGCACGAGTACTTCTGCGGCATCGTGCCATTCAGAGACGCTGTTGCATGCGTAGTGCATGTCCTCCAGAACTTCCACCTTTTATTTTTTTTTGCCACAAGAGCTCGGTTTGTTATAGCACTGCTCTAACTTTTCACTTGCTGGTATTTTTACGGCTCGCGATACACATAAAATGTGCGCCCCAGCTCAGGACAGCCAATAAAGCTAGAACGACGCTCTCCAACGAGCACTTGTCAATATTCTTGACCTCGGAGATGAAATGTCGCTGCAAGAACTCAAATCAAACGGTCCAACATCATTCCTAGTCCTAAATGTTGCTGTCATAAAAAAAAACAAGCAGCAAAAGCCCTTAAATCATGCGATTGAGGACATCTTTGTAGCGATCCCCAATGTCAGCAGGACGCCGTATCTGACAGGTGTGACTGTCATGCAGTGATTTATTTTCGACGGCTCACCAGCTTGGGAGAAAGTGCAAAATTAATGCTGTAGTTCTTTGGCTATCCACGAGATGGCGCAATGTGTTCCTGGATGCCAATTCGAATTTGTCAGACTGTGGAAACCGTTGATCACGGGTGATCAATGGCTAACGGGCGTGGTACGGAAGGAGTTAAGACGAGGCGCCACGGTGACCACCTTGATTGTGCCAGCCGGGACTCATGTTCAATCGGTAAATACATGAGTCCCGGTTCAATCGGTAAAAACACGAGCCTCGTCTCTTCTAGGCGACGCCCAAAATTCAGCACCACAGCCTATCTAGAAGATGTTAGCTTCAGTTTCACGTGGTAGATGCTGCGAGGGCAAGGATTTTGGTGCGTACAGGACGTAAATTGATTTGCAAGAGGTCTTTAACCCTTAGAGACACAGTGGAATATGTGCCGTAAACTGAAAGGTGACAACGACTCTCGTAGGCCCGGAAGGAAAACGCAAGAACCATTCTCAGTGTCAACTATTTTGTGTTACGTTGTTAAAGCTGTCATAGCTTTGGTGGTGCTGCAATGCTGTCCAAGGTACTACTCGCACGAGCATGTGCAAATGAGATGCGAGACAAAGTCACGTGCTCTCGTGGAAGTGCGGAGCTGTGCCATAGCGAAAGCCACACTAACCTCAACGACGTGGCACGAAACAGCCGACACCAAGTATACGAGCACTGAAACAGTGACGAGGACGAGCGAGGAGAGGGGCCACTCACAATGAGAGGCGAACTGGAGTGTGATGCAGGCCGCGCTGCCCAGCACCATGGTTCCGCACAGGGACAGCCTGCGCCCGGCGGTGCTGAGCAGCCATGCGGAGAGCAGGTAGCCGGGCACCTCTATGAGCCCGGACAATGCTGTGCTCAGGTACAGGTCCCCGCCCAGGGAGCTGGCTGCCATCGTTAGGGCGTAGTATGTGATGCCATTCACGAGCCTGCACGTGTACGTTTATCGGCGTGGCGTGTAAAGGTGGGTTCGCACACGTGCGCTCGAGTGTGTTCGAGTGCAACGCGTTGCCTCATAACTCACTAGCACACTTACCGGAGTTAAAAGAACGATGCACAAAAAATTATAAAAAGATGTACGCAGCTCGTTGGCATTCCAGGGCCACCTGACAGACGATGCCGATGTGTCAAGCAGTTACGAGGGAACGCAACATGCTCGACCACACTCAAATCTAAATGTGTGAAGCGAATCTTAAGATGGACCTCTGCGGCTGCATCAATTTCTTCGCATTAAGAAATCTGGGTGCCAGTGTCAGTTCAGAGGTGTAAGTTTCAACCGAAAATGCTGATAACAACCCAGGTACTGGTAAAAATAAGGCGAAACAGGTTCGTCAAGAAAAACACCAGCTTGCTGGTATTCGCTCCTCATTAATGGAAAATACAGTAGCCTTTCTAGTTGGAAGAATCATGACGAAGAAGTTTTACGAAATGTGCGACCACCGTTGCAACCAACTATGGCTAATATGTCATTGCACATATTATTCCGGCATTACACAGCCGACGAGACTGAAAGCTCCTTTCATCACTGGCCTTTATACTTCTTGGGCGTCATCATACCCATTCAGTCAAAAGGGAAGAAACAAGCACAAACTGGGATGTGACGTGACTTGGTTGTTCAGTTCTGCAAACTGCTTGTAAGCAGCTAACATTCAGACTAACAAAATCCACCGTCCTTGCATTGTCGTGGCAAGGCAGTTGGAATAAAAAATGTAGGTATTGTGTTGCTTCGCGGTGGTGTCGAAGAGATGAACTTGCTAAGGATTCTTTGCCTTGGCAGTGCGAGCATCGTCCTGCATGGTGTCTCTGAAAGCAAGCCTCCTAAAGCTAGTGCTCCAGCGGGAGAGGGATGCAAAGTTATACAGTTGAACCTCAATTTGACGAAGTAACCGAGACCCGCTGATTATTTCGTTAAATCGGGAACTTCGTAAAATCGAGAAAAACATTTTTCGAGCATAGGATGCGTGGCGAATCTGAATTTGCTCACTAGATCAGGAAATTTGTAAAATTGGGTTTTGTTAAATCGAAGTTCAACTATAGTCTCTTGCAGTTGCATGGCTTAAAGGGGCACTGACACATCAAGATCATATTTTTTTTATTATCCGAAACGATTGAAAACGATGCCAGGACATTACCCTCGAAGTTCGAAACTTGGGAATTCAGTATTTCTTTATTAAAAAAACAATTTCCAAATGCCGAATTTGAAGTTCCCGCGCGATCCGCGCCAGTGCAGTGAGTCAAATTTTGCGGCCTCCGGCGACTCGACTTTCTTTCCGACCTCCGCTCCACCACGCCGTTGCCACGGCGACCCGAAGCGAGGGGGAGGAGGTGAGGAGGCGGGATAGAAGGGTGCTAGCGCAGGAAAAAACCGGTTGCTCTCCGACTGGCCGATAATCCTCTGCTCGAGCGCCGCCAAGTTTTTCGAGGGAGGATACAAATCCAGGAAGCAACATCACACCGAAATCTGATTTTTGGTATTTCAAAAAGAAGGGCCGTAGTGCGTTCGCAGTTGCGTTAAAAAACATGGTTTACGATTGCCGTTCTTAAATGTTATAGAAATGTCGCCTACAAAGCTTCTAAATTTCCTGATTTTTGACGTCATCGATCAGAAGAAGCGAGAAGGTGAGCGCGGGAAATATAAACGACAAAAATAAAAAGGCGCGCGCGCGCGGGAAACTTTTTTTTCGCGATGCGGTTTTTTTTGCGTGTCTATGACTATAACTTGCATCGTTTTAGACAATAAAAAAATATATGATTTTGATGTGTCAGTGCCCCTTTAACACCTTCCGGATAGCAAGGCCACAGTGCTGGATTTCCTATGTGACATGCCGGAGGTCTGAGTGGGGCACAGATCACACGAGTTCCAACCAAATACTGACACAGCACCTACGTAACACTCTTTCGCCACAGTTTTACAGAGAGCTGCTAGGAGTCATCCCTATAACACATTGGGTTTAAGAAAAAGATGAGCATCAGGCTGGAATAACCATCACTTACGAGCCATTAATATAAGGTTTGTCGCAAATTCTTGCGCTTGAGAAAAGAACCAACTGTGAACACAATCTGATTATTTACTACACTAACTGTAATGTCAAAAAAAGAAAAAGTATTGCACACAGTTCTTATGCTGCACAAATTATTTCTTACAACATTTGATTGTGAGAAAAAAAAGCATTTTGACCTTGAAATATGGACATTTTTATAAAATAACAATTTTCAAATGTCTTAGTTCATCACATCAAGGGAGTTAGTAATACTATGCAGGGAACTGAGTTTTTCTATCTACCTTTCTTGAGGTGAAAACGAGTACATAGTTAGCTCCCTCCACTCTTCAGTGTATATCTCTTCAAAGTATCTTGAGAGCCTCCTATACAGGTTGCTCAGGAGTATAGGATAGAGGCACCATATATATAAATGGATTACTAGGAACCCAAGGACAGCCCAGAGTACCCACAGCGATTTCCTAAGCTCATAATCTTCCTCGATTGTCCCTGCCCCTGAGCTAATTGTTCCTCCCGTTTCAGCATAAATTTAACAGATCTGAACCACCCATTCATACGTAACTACAAGCTTAACAGTGAGTGCATTGTCACTCACAAGGTCCGTAAGCTTCTGCACCGCTTTGTTGCATCAGTGCCAAGGCCGGGAGGTGTTCCTTGGTTGCCATTCAAGCCAGATGGGGCTCCCCCAAAATAGAAAAGCGACAGCCCCTGCTATACAGATAAGCAAGTACAGGGTGTCCCCAAAGGATATTTACAGGGTTTCTTTCGCTGCAAAAATAAACTATGTGCCGCCGAACGCTCATTCTCCACCTAAATGTAACTTTTGAAATAACGTAAGGGTTAGTGCTGAAACTTTGGCGTCTGGTTCGGACTGCTAGCACAACATTTGGGCGGAGAATGAGCATTCAACAATGCACAATCTATATTTGCGGAGAAAAAGCGTCATAAATTTTTTTGGGGGGGACACACTATGATACAAAAGAAGAGGCCTATTTTGTGTCCCCCTTGCAAGCGAGCAGGCTGCGACAGCACCACCCTCCCCCGACCTCGGTGGAGCGAGGGCACCCACCAGATGAAGAGCTGGACGAGGGTCTGGTTGCGCAGGGTCCTGTTGAGGAAGAGCACCTTGGGGTTGGAGCCTCGGCTGTGGTGCAGCTTCTGTTCCTGCAGCTCCCAGGAGCGAGGCAGGCAGCCTGCTGTGCCGTTCTTCACCGCTATGTGCACCAGTACTGCCTTGGCCTGGGCCTGCTGGCCGTGCAGCAGCAGCCAGCGGGGGCTCTCCGGCAGAAGCCTGCAGCAAGAGAGAGTCAGTGGGTGCGCCAACTGCCTTTCCTTTAGCCTTGTTCCGGTACAGTTCAGAGAGCGCTGCGGTTAGCTGCCGACAAGACCGGGGGCTTTCTACAGAGGAAATAGCGAGGAACGAGGCTACCTCAATGAAAAGTTATGAATACAGCTCCTTACGGGCAGCTAAGCAACCGAGACTGTCTTTCGTCAGTCACGAAACAGTGCCGAGAGCTGCGCTAGTGCCATCCTCTGTGCCATACGCAAAGTCATGAGCGGCTCCCTTCCTTCCGGCCTTTGTTTCTGCTGCCCTTCTCGGTCGTGACGACTCGACACCAGCGAGTCTTAGTTTCTGCCCCGCAATGAAGGAAAGCTTACAGGATGAGTGGCAGGAAGAGCACAGCGAGCAGCGAGGTGGCCATGGTGTAGTAGCGCCAGTTGGGGATCAGGTAGGCCAGGAGCGCGTGCATGGCGATGCCAAAGGCAAACACCAGCGGGAAGAGGGTGCCCATCAGCGCCCTCCGGGACGGCCCCACTAGCTCCGTCATCATAACGAAGGACACGAGCGCCATGGACGCCGTGGTCATGCCTGCCAGGAAACGGCAGGCTGCGTGCAGGGCCAAACTTGGCGCGAAGCCGCCGAAGAAGCTGAAGGCTGACATGGCGATGGACGAGAAGAGCAGAGTCCGGCGGCGCCCAAAGCGGTCTGAGATGTAGCCGAAGACGAAGGCACCCGACATGACGCCCGACATGAACACAGACTGCACCACCCGCACCTCATAGGCCTGGCTGCAGATCAGGTCCCACTGCAAGGGCATGAGAGGGAGGGAAGTCAGCGTGGCATTTTAAGGCCTAAAGTGAAGCAAGTTAGACGTCGAGCGTTTACACACAGTGAGGTCAGCCTGCCTTTGAGATAAGGCAACACTGGGCCACGTATCGGGGAAGAAAAATTAAAGGGAGAGAGGTACCACGGTAATCACAATTAGGCTTTTTGAACTTGTTTTTTTTGGCTAGATCAAGATTCTACACAATCCAATCCAGTCCACGAGAGATTCAGCCAGTGCAGGACGACTGCTATCTCTAACGTGCATCGGGCAGTTGTGATTAAATAGACGCATTCCAGTATGATGCTCATCCAGATTTAAACGGGCGGGGACCGGACCGAGGATTTCTGGGTTCAGCAGCACATGCTTTCACTTCATGTGCTCTGAGTTATGGTGCACCACACACTTTGGTCAAGTGCCAAGAACACATTTGTGGGCTTGCCTAATTAAGTGACTTTCTAATATAACTTTGGCGAGCAAGTCTTATTGTGTCCACTTTTAAGAATTCCTAAACTTTTCTTATTTTCTTTTGCTATGTTTTCAGCCAAAACCACCCCCAACCAGTTTCGTACAACAAGACTGTTCAACAACTAACGACAACACTGCTAGTTGACGGGTCTTAAAAACAATAGACATTTTATTAGAATTCATCTTGTATTACAGCCAGTTCAATGTTTTATGCCAGTGGTTCTCCAACGGGGGTCCGCGCAGCCCTGCCTCGTCAGTCAAGCTTGGCAATAAAAGTTGTCTTTTATCCAATTGAGAAGAGAAAAGCCCTTAGTTACGTTCACATATTAAAACATTATCATAATTAACCTACACCTTTCGCTTCCCCTCACAGCAAACGGGGTCCTCCATCATCTCCGTCGATCCACAAGGGGTCCGCGAGACATCAATGGTTGAGAACCACTGCACTATGCAATTAATTTTCTGATGTATTTTTAGAAAGTTGTTCCGATAACCCCGGTAGTAATGCTCAATACATCACCGGTGCCTCTGAACCAGGGATGGGCAAAATACATGCAAATATGTATCGAAATGCAAATACAAAATACTTCGTCAAAAATGTATCTAATTACAAATCTAATTACATTTCCAAAAAAGCATTTAACTACAAGATACAAATACAACCAAATGTATTTGGTCTCTTCCAAATACTTTTCCAAACACATTCCTCAAAATTTGCGTGAGCGACTTTAGGGCACCTGCAACCGGTTTCTGGGTATCTCATTTTAATTTTGCATCGCACACTCGGGAGTTAGTGTGCGAGGCTCTAGTAACATAAAAGAAATATAATAAAAAAAAATGTAATCAGCTTGGACGTAATAGGCGAAAAAAGTACAGAGCTTCAAGAAGCTTTTTTGTCGATTACATTTTGGTATAGACCAACAAAGAACAACAAAGAACCAAGACGACCAAGACGCACAGCATTAGCTAGAGAATTTTTTATTGTTGCAACTCGCACCAGTCACGAAAATCTGGATGACCCGTGCATTTAGAATGTTCCAGGCAAAAATATGGATGAAAATCAGGCTGGAAAGCATCACAAGTTGTCACAGGCATTGATTTAGCCAGTCTGCCTGTGAACGTAGATTTCGTTACTATTCTTGCCCTGGACTAGCACCGTAACCACAAAGTCACTTAACGCTTGTGCTTGGTTGAGAGACATTGCATTCAGTGCAGAACGTAGTTTTCTTCCTGCTCTGGACAGTGGCAATACATTTGAGGGATGTATTTCCACCCACAAAATTGTATTTAATTACAATTGTATTTGAATTACCCACGTTTTAGTATTTAAATACACACGTCAAATACATTACCGAATTTGTACTTAAATACAGATGCGAAATACACAAATTATTTGAAATGCATATTTCAAATACTTGTATTTGAAATACTGCCCATCCCTGCTCTGAACCTACTCCCAATCGTCATCAGGTAAAATTGTTACAGTTACCAGAATGATCCATCAAAACTCCGTTGTACTGGAAAACCTAACGACAGAGAAATAAACGTGGAACCCTACATGCAAAGTTCCCAGCCTTATGTGGAATGAATGTGCACAAGTACTTTTTGTTGTTTCCCCAACCTAGATATTTGCATTATGACAAACGCTGGTCTCGTTTTAGAATTCTACCATTTTCTCTAGTTGTCTTGCTAGCTCAATGATTGCATATAACTAGAGTAATATATCACAATGTTGACAATGTATTGTGTAGCAGGCCGCACACACAGTTGTTTTTGGCATATGCAATAACAGATCTCATCCAACATAACGACAAAATGCGGGGGGGGGGGTTTGGCGGCCAGGGATGTTGACACACCGTAACTGAACAATACGTGGAGAAAAAATGAGCACTGTAGATTCAGACATCACGAATTTTAATACATTTGCCAGTATCAATGTCAACAGACATAAGGATGTGCATTCCCTCCCACGAGTATGTTTATCCACAAAACTATTCTGGGCATTCAACTAGACAGTTCCGCAGACCTTGAGAGGTCTCTCTACCGCGTCATAGGTTTGTATAAAATTAAGAAAAATTAAGAAAGCTTTTGGTACAGTGTTTAACTAAGGGATGGCACCACATTATTCAATTCGTGCCACTTAGTGACCCTTGAAACTTGTTGGCATGCACATTCAAGAGACGAAAGCTATTAATAAAAAGCGACAAGGACAAACAGACACATGATGTCCTTGTCCCTTTTCCTAAAAAATCCTCTACCACTTGAACCCTACAAGATAGTTCTTGGGAAAACAAGACAATCGGGCAAATGCTAATAAAAAAAAACACTACCTTAAACAATAGGAAATTGTTGATAAAAAGCACAGCTGCAGGACATGTCAATCCTCTTTTCCACATTGTAAATGAAGGAATGACTTATTCTTTGCTCATTTGGTAACGGGCTAGCAGGGGCTCGGTGTAACGGTTGTGAGCTTTCTGCATGGCACTGCACATACATGTGCACATTTAATGTGCAAATTAATGTTACTATTGTTGTGGCCGTCCTCCTTGCCTGGCTTGTCCATTGTTGGATTGCAGGGTCCACTCAATCTGTATCGGTAATCTGTTCCATCGAACACAAAGTCTACAGCCCTAGAACTTGGGAAGTTTCGCTTTGATATTGTAAATCGTTTCCTCCTGACCTTATAAGTGCTCAGAATTGATCTTTCACCCTGCCTTAGTGTTGAAGCACAGAACACACCCATTTTAGAAGTTTTATGACCATGCTGTTAGATTTTCAAGAAGGCTGTGTCTACAGTGCCGTCCGACGGCACTCCAATCGCGCCTACAAGTGCCGTCCAAAAGAGAATCGGACAGCGTGTGTTTCACTGGAAAGCTCGTTAACACCCCGCCCCCTGGCCTGTGTTCACGCAGCTTCGTGGCGTCGGTATGCGGCTGCTAATTACAAAACTATTGACCCATTTGGCCTCGTCGTACACGCCGCTTCGTGGCGTCCAGCCGGCAAACCAAGCCCCACTGTCCCCCATGCACCTCCGGAAACGAAGTCCCATATCAGTTTGTTCAGCAAAGTTTCACCAACAACATTCGTTTTCTCCAGTGTTAATCGTAAACAAAGAAATGTAAATATCGCCAGATATGTCGGCAAAATAAAATGTTTGGAAAACAAAAACAAACAAGTAAGCCCGCAATGGGGTTCGCTTTTTTTTTTTCTTCAGACGTTTATTTACAGCATGTTTAAAACAACTATAATTTACAGTATTCTATACAAGTAATGTGCAACACTATATACAGGTAGAGCTCTACATTTCCATTTGATTATATACAAGCAATGCATTACATTATATACATGCAATGTGTTACTTTTTTGCTACATACAAGTGGTGCGTTTCATTCTCTTTACATTATACAATAAAAGTTTACAAACACATTATGCTCATCACAAAATGGGAGGTGTCAATGATACTTCCTAGATCGGCTGGTGCTGTCGTTGATTATATAATATCAGGGGAACGACTGAGATTTTTTACGACGTCTTTCCATTCATCATTTTCATCACAGCGTGCCAATATGCCCTGACCTACTTGAATGGCAATATTTTTAAAATTTACCCAGGATGACTTTGTGGCACCTGCTTTATTATCTGCTTTACGCATTTTCCACAAACTATAAAGACCTAGAACTACTAAAATGTCTTGAATGGTATCAAGGTGTTCGGCGAAATGCAAGTAGCGAAGGTTTGTCTCTTCCACTTCAAAGTCTTTTTTCAGCGTCTGTTTGAAAACATCCCAAAAGAATATAGCGTGGAGAGAAAGAATAAAAACATGGGAGAACGTTTCGGTAACTTTGCAAAGTCTGCAATCAGTGCTTCCGTATGTGTCCATCCCGCGTAAGTCAAGCCACTCTTTCACAGTTGTGGTACGAGAGTGAAATCGGTAAAAGAAAGTTTTACACTTCGGTGGTATCGGCATTAGTTTAACCCTTTTTAAAACATCCGCTTTGCAATTTAGAAAAAAAAGTCAGATTTGGGGTTTTTTTGTGCCAAACCAACGACGGGCATCTGGCACGCCCCAGCGGAGGACTGAGGATTAATTTAGACCACCTGGGGATCTTTTGACGTGCAACCGAAAGCTCGGTTACACGGCGCCTCCTCCGCAATAAGCCTCTGTCATATTGCAGGCACCTCGGTCGGGATTCAAACCCGCCACATGGGGATCCGTAGGCCAGCGCTCTCGCATCGGAGCCACCGAGGCGGCGGTTTGCAATTTAGAGGAGGCCCATAAGGATGAACACGAAATACGGGATCTGGGAATAATGAAACTAGCAGATGTTTGGTTAGCTTCATTCTGGTGCACGAGGCCAAAAAGGCTTGGTCAAACCTTGTTCTTAGAAATTCCAATGTGTCTGCTACTTCCTTGTAAAATCCTCTTAATTTTATTAAAGCACAAGTGTTTGTTGAATCTTCACCTGGTACTGCCATATATTTTGCCAAGAAGAAATGTTTGCACAACTCTAAAAAAAGATGCTGTTCCGGTGCAAAAAAGTTCCATCTGGCAATTAGTTGCCAAACAAAAATATGACCTAAACCAAGTCCTCCATCGCGAATTCCTCGAAACAAGTTTGATCTCCTCCTTGGCTCGTATGGTGACCTCCAAATAAACATAGCCAATATTCTGCTCAACGCATTGACCGTCGCCCTTGAGCAATGTATAACCTGCAGAAGATACATTAAGCTTGGACAAGAGGAAAATGTTGCATACAGCAACCCTTCCAAAAGTAGATAGGTATCTTAAGCTCCACATATTGGCAGCTGTTTTAACGTTTTTCATTACTGTGTCCCACAGAGGCTTGGGATTGTCCATTGCGCTTAACGAGACTCCTAAGAGCTTTGGCTTCACTGGAGACCATTGTATGTCCTCAAATGTAGATGGTGTTGAACACCACTCCCCGCATTATGAGCCACAACTTTTGTCCTTGTTTACTGACGCACCAGACAGGGCACAGTAGTTAGAAATGCATAGCATCGTGTTTTTCATGCTGGGCTTGCTGGAACATACCAGCACAAGGTCGTCAGCGTAGGCAAGAAGCTTGACTTCGCAGCTGTGAAGGCGAAAACCTTGAACCTTGTTATCGTTTATGATGTATCTGCAGAGGGGCTCAGATAGAGGTGAGAAAGAAGTGGTGACATGGGACAACCTTTTCTAACCGAGCGTTGTACTTTATGGATTTTGTAAGAGTTCCGTTAACAATCAATTTCGTTGAGATTCCAGTATAACAAAGTTTGATTCCACACATGACGTTTTCCCCTACTTGTTTTGAGAACTCGTTTTATACAAAACTTTCGGACAGCACTTGAACGCGTGAGTGGAGTACCGTCGGACGGTACTCTAGACACTACGTTTCAGGAAACAAGGGGTTTTTAACGAAGAGGGGCGGAACGAGCCTGTTTTAGTCCTTCGCTAGAAAGCATTAGCATGGGCATTTCTAACCCCCCTCCCCCGGTCCCTTCCCGAATGAAGGTGTGAAGGTTGTGTGGATTGTAACAAGTCCCCTTCCCAATGAAGATTGTGTCGATTGTGTCAATATTTTAAGACAAGTTCGAAATTATCAGTACGTCAACATACACAAGGCCTTGTCTATGCCAACATACACAAGGCAACCAGATAAAAATTAGAGTAAAGCTATACGCACTCCGGAGTGCGCTTCGCGCGGAAATGGCTATACGCACCCCTCCGAGAGATCATGCCGCTCGGGCCACCCTTTTCGAACGGCGCGTGAATCACTGGGGCGCTCGTTAACACAGCCCCCCGCCTGCGTTCACGCCGCTTCGCGGCGACAGTATCGGCTGCTAATTACTAAGCGTAACCAGTACACGCCGCTTCGCGGCGTCCAGCCGGCAATCCGAGCCCCGCTGTCCCCGATCGCACCTCCGGGGAGTCCGATACCATTTAGTTCTGCAAAGTTTCTCGACAACATTCGATTTGTTTTTTTTTTTTTACTGTTCATTGCAAAAAAAGGAAATGTCGTAAACATCGCCAAATGCCTCAACAAAACAAAATGTTTGAGAAAAAAAAGAAAAAAAAAGTAGGCCCACCGCGGATCGAACCCGCGTCCACTTGCGTATGAAGCGGACACCCTAACCACTACGCCATGGCACCGCTTAGGAAACTTGTTGTGTCCACTCTTTTTATACGAGAAAAGCGGAGTGCGTATAGCCATTTCCGTCCGAAGCGCACTCCGGAGTGCGTATAGCTTTACTCTAAAAATTAACTGAAACTGTCACAACACAACTCGAGAATATTTGAATACGGTTGGAGTCAACTGGGCACGACTTGGCTATAAAGATTTCCAATTAAGGTTGACACAGCACCAAACCGCGGGATTTTGACGGTGACACACAGGCAGAATGACAAAGCTTCACTCACTTCAGTGGCGATTGACGTGAACGTAGAGGTGTACTGCGGTAGTCGGCACATGTCGTTCGAGTCGCAGAGAGTCTTCATCTCCTCGGTGCCATTCCAGCACTTGTATTCTGGCGTGGCGCCTGTGAACACAATCTGTAGCATTTGCCCACTCACAAACAGACCTCCGACCACGGACGTGTAGAGAAAGTAAAGGATTTGTTGTGGTCCGATTTCGCCGACGAGATGAAACACTTGGTCGACATCCATGTTGCCAAAAAGCTTCCACAAAACAGACTTCCAGAAGTGACGCGGCACGTAGTTGTCGCTCGTTTTCAGTTGGTTCCTAGATGGACAAATATAAATACACCAAACCCATTGCGCGAACAGGTTGTTCCGGAAACAGCGGAGACGAGGCAAGCTGGAGGCGGATCAGCGACTGTAAACAGCTGCGCAGACCGGCGGACCGGCCCTCAAACGAAAGTTTACTGTTCGCCGCAACGTTGTGAGGGCGCTAGCGAACGCATGGCGTTTCGCAAGTTTCGCGATTGCAGACAAGGACTGCGCCTTACCACCCTTTCATTTAGTTTTATGTATTTGGTTCAGGAGAGTCGGGAGTTCGCAGAAAGGCCGAAGGCCCATATCGGCTAGCCTGCAAACCGACTTCAAATTAAATAAATAAAAAAAAGATGTATTTACCGTTTTAGAAGACTCTACCACCTTTCCGCTATTCGATCTGCTAAAGTGGAAAGGAGAAAGAGGGGGGGGGGGGGGGGTGGTTGCGAGCTTCTCAATCTGTCGCAGATTACCGTAAAATACCCGGCGAGCGCCCACTGAATCTTAAAAAAATAATACCAAGAAAAAAAACGATGGATGGGCGCTTGTCCGGTCATCAACTCAAGAAGGTATGGCGAAGGAAAGGAAGGCTGGGGAGGAAGAAGCAGATGAAACGCTAGAGAGAGAGAGAGAGAGAGAGAGAAAAAAAGGGGGGGGGGGGAGGGGAACCTCCTTGTCTCTCCAGCGTTCCGTCTGCTTTCTCCTCCCCGGTCTTCCTTTCCCTCGCCCTACCTTCTTGCGCGATGCCACTGCCACCATACCACTGCACGCGGCAACGACAAAACGGTTGCTTCTGCCGCTTTACGGCGGCTTTCGTCGAGCTTTAGCGTGTTTGCCGTTTGGGGCTAAGGCAGGGATTTCCCCAGGAAAATGGGGGAGCATTTGAGGAGAATACAGGAGCTTTCAAAACAGCAAACGGTGTACCTCCCCCCCCTCCACCCCCCCTCCCCCCCAGAGGGGGTGTGTAGGGAAATCCCTGCGCTAAGGTCCCTTACTTGTGGAAAGGGGGGGGGGGGGGGGGGGGCAGGGATCCACTAACTATGACGTCATGCGCAGGCCTTGTCCTCTATGAACTGTTGGCGTGGGAGCGCTTCGGGTTACAGATGCAAGCAAATATCCACGCCTGCGTGCGTACTCGAGATAACGCCAACGCGCGTGTGGCAGATATCCGTAGCTCTTGGGACGTTGTTTTCGAATAGAATTTATCTGACGTACGCCTGTGTGACAGTCGCTAATATCGGATAGGAAGGTGCCATCTCAAACTGGTCATGCCAGAACCGGTCATGCATGTCACGTCCATCCATGTTATCGCTTCTTTGCCCTCGACGGAAAGCAGTTAAGAAGTTGTACTTGAGTAATTCAAGACATTATTAAACAGGCGTCATCTCAGAAAGGGGGGCGTGCCGGGGACTTTGATAGTAATTTTAATAGGGAAATCCGCCGCGCATGACCGTAATTTCATGTTTCTTAGGATCCTTAGGGCCCGTAGATTGAGTTACCGCCATAAATAGACCATCGCAGAACGCTCCGGAGGGCCCCTTTAATCGACATACTGAAACCCGAGACAGAGGCAGAAAAGGACGAAACGACGTCTGAATACACATGCTACTAAACTTTATTCACCACGCTCCCCTTCGTCTCTACTTACTCTTCGAACGCGTTCGAAAAGTGAGAAGAGTCAAAGGCGTCTACGGTCTACCCACTAATCATTCCACCCAAAAGCTTGGTGTTCCAACAGTTGCGACGCCCCGCAGTTTGTACCCCTATGGGCGCCCATGCGCTCGCAATCCTTGAATGCCGACATGTTCATGTACGCTCTTGACCCCGAGTCTGGTGACCCATGCCACGCGTGGAAGCACGTGCAGCGTGCGGGTAGACCCCGGTCTAGAGCCATTAGCCCGGTGAACAGGTGGTCACCGGGGTAATGGACACGAAGAGACACGGTGGCCTGGTGCCCAGCTTGAAATCGTGCTTCTGCCGCACTCTACGGTGTGAGACACCCACGGCACAGCACGCGCGTGATCGTGATCGGAAAGTGCACAGCACATGCCAAGCGCACGAACGTTGAAAATCGCACCGACCAAGAGAAGACGATTATGAACAAAATACCCCCCCCCCCCCCCCCCCCTTTTTTTTTTTCTCTCGCAAGGAGAAAGAAAAGAGGGAAACGAAGACAAAGTTGGCCGCGCGCCTGAGGCCATTCGGATCCTGTCTGTGGAACTCACAGTGGTGGAACTGGAGTTGCAAAGATGCCTGGAGATACATCGAGGTGGGTGTTTGTAGCAGTGCCGACGATTAGCTGATTTTATAACTAATCGACGTAGTACACGAACACTCTGTTATATGCGACTTCTCAAAAGAGCACGGAAAATCTAAGGTGCAATTGCCATTGCTGCCCCGCGGGCCGCGTGAGCGAGCACTGCTTACCCAGGGCCGGATTAAGAAATTTTGGGGCCCTGGGCTAAGGCTGTTCAAGAGGCCCCTAATGGTGGTGACATACTGACTATAATGATGATAGTGGTAGTGGTAACGACCATGATGGCAATATGTAGGTTTCACCAACTTACAAAATACAAATATCGTTCATTTTATGATATATCTCGGAAGGTTTTTGTATATGTAGATTCGATGATTAGGAAATTAGGGTTTCACTGGGTGGAAATGACGCATATGCGGTTGTGGATTAGAGGCTGTTTCGGAAATAGCCAATCACTAACTTAGAGCTACAAAACGCAGAGCATTGAACGATTGGTCAAAATGATAAGTAAGTGTCGCGCATGTTGAGCAGGGCCTCGTAAACATCCGTCGAAAAGTTGAAAATAATGACTCCGCGTTCCTGTGAGCTTGTTTGTGACAAAGTCTACAACTTTATTTATACAGTACGTGTCTCTGCCGACTAATTAAGAAATTTTTTTCATCCATTTGGACGTATCACTCTAAGCTAAGAATAATAGGTTATACCTCAAAGGCAGGAAAAGTGTCGTCTCGCACTGTCAGATCACTGAGATCAGACACAGGCTCCAGAGCAGTTTCTTGCAGTTGCTGCCTCTTGAAAACTTTTGGGTGACATCTCAAGAGCCGGCTTCTTGAGACGCCTGTTAGTGGTCAGAAAGGATGGCTTCGGGAGGTTCACCGATATTTCTTTTTGCTTCTTTTGAAACTTGTCGTTTCGGAGGAAAATTCCCAAATGGAACTACGCTAAAAGACAAAAAAAAAAAAAAAATAATAATAATAATGTGTAGCATGTATGTTGCTCGTGTAGCCTTTGGCGACACTTTTTTTGCTTGCCTTCCAAGCCACCGTTCTCCGCAAAATTCGTCGGGGCCCCAGTACAATAGATAACCCCATGGCCGTCCTACCGCCTGGCTTCAATTAGAAAAGACTTCAAACGGGACCGCCACCATCGGCAGCTTTGCTCCCTTCCACAAGAAGGGTGGGAGGCAACGTTAACATTTTGTTACTTTAGCACAGTCTTTTACAAAGAGTTCACGAACACCAGCTCGTCTAGAGAAGGCAACTTTTTGGCAATACTATAGTGACTAGAAAGCCACCGGCCCAGAGGCTTATGTGATCCTCCTTTAGGTTTGAGTTGTTTTAAACTGAAACCGACTAGCCTTCTTTTTCTTTTTCTATTATTTCATATTTCCAGGGGCCAACACGGGGCCCCTTGGCAGCCTGGGGCCCTGGGCTGCAGCCCCCTTAGCCCGTACCTTAATCCGGCCCTGTGCTTACCTATAGTAAATTACAGGTCAAGTAGGGTGCCTTCGTGTCCCGCTTAAGGCACTCTAAGGTCAAAAGGATTCAGATTCATATATCGTTTCCGTGCCGTCGCGGCCAACGGGGGAGGAGGGTCTTCCTGTAAATATTAGCCTTATCTTTCAACTCTGCATGACTTAGCGCTGTGGAAACCAGGAGAGGGAGGTTAGAGTTTTCCCCCTTCCGATGTGTACAAAGGCTACTTCAGGGGCTTGGTTCCCTTTCCGACGAATACAAAGGTCACTTTCATAAAAAGTGGGGGTCGGAGGCAAGTTGGCATCACTCTGTATCCAATAGGGAGTTTTCGTAGACCGCGTTTCCCCCTCCGCTAAGCCCTCCGCAACGAAGAAGTTACTACTGCTTCTGCGCGCCGATAGCATTGACTGTAGAGTTCCGGGTATCGTAGCAGGTTGTGGAGGGAGTTGCGAGACGTCGAAAACGATCTACGAAAACTCCCTAATATCCAGAGATGGCAAAATTACTTTCAAAAAGCAATTAAATTACATTAATAATTCCTTTTCTAAAAACTGCAAAAATGTAATTAAATCACATTAATAATTGCTTTTCTAAAAACTTAAAAAATGTAATTAAATAACATTAATAATTACCGCATAAGAAAGGTAATGGCATTACATTACAATTACTTTCAAAAGTAGTGAAATTACTTTGAAATTATTTTGACATTATTTTTTAATACCTTGAGGCAGTAATTCCCGCTCATTTTATTTACCGTATACTATACTCCAACACAGTGTTTACAAAACAACAGAGCTGGCAGTAATGTAATTACAGTAATGAAATTACAGTAATTTAATTACTTGTTCCAGTAATTAGTAATGTAATTCATTACTTTTTGTAGCAGGTAATTTAGTAATGTAATGAATTACTCCAGCGACGGTAATTGTAATTAAATTACCTAATTACTTTTTCGCACCAGGCATATTTCTTGTGTCCACAATACACAACAGCGCTTTTTTTTATTTTACTTTTTCTTTTTCCTATACACCTTTCCAAAAAACGCTCTTCGGCCGCCGCTATGTTGCTGATGCTAATGCGGCTGGTGCAACTCTCGCGCCCGCTATCAGCTAGACATTTTCTGCCACTCTCTTGAACTGTGAAAACCCGCTCAGCGCGATTCTCTACCTATGTTTTGCGGTTTTGCATTCGACGTTTTCTGGCCCCTCTTGAAAGTTTCCGCTTACTTTTTCTGATGCATACTGCGTACCCTCTCTGTGTTATCTTCCACTGTGAGAAATAGGGCTGGTAAGTGCCTTCCATTCGAGCTTTTCTGCTCGACATTCTCGGGAAACGAAGGAGGGGAAGTAGGTCTAACTAAAGCCCCTGGTGGAACGGCCTTCGGCGCGAT